GCGTCTCCACGCTGGGCCCACTATTTCTATTTCTCTGCCCCTTAAGTAACGACGTTCACGACGTGCTCGTCCTCTGCGCGCAAGGACGAGCACGTCCCGCAGTCACGACGTCGTGCGATTTCGCCGCGCGGCTGTGATAAGAGATAGGCGCGCGACGAAACGCGGCCGAAACGACACGTGCTGGGTATGTGCGATGTTTCGAACGTCGTGTCCCTCACGACGGGGGGATTACTACGGGCCAGGGTGTGTGCGAATAATTGTACTTGGTGTTGAAAGTGAAAATCTTGGAAACTTGGATCGACAGGGAACACTCAGAACTAAGGTTGAATCATATTTATTAATCATCATGTGCCCGGAGTTTGAGTTCTATACGTTACCATGAAAGACAAATGCAGGATGTCCCAAAGCATCTATACACTGTTTGATCGTTAATATCTCTCTTCCCAAGAAGTCGTTTACCTACCTTAGGGTACCATTCTGCAGAGGTGGCTCCAACTTAGATTTGCAGTATGGAGCGAACCATCAATAGCTTTCCATTACTGTAGGATTACGATTAGAACTTTTAGCTTGCAGCGTCATTTCTGAATAAGTCATCAAAGAAGTCTCCAAAAATTTTGAAAAGTGATGTACCAACAATTCTAAACGCGATGATTTCACTTCTCAACTTTATAGGGGTTTATAAAGCTTCTCCAAATGGCGTGATCACCATAGGAAGCATCGTAAAGACAGCTATTACGGTTTATTTGGCATAAGTTATGAGGGAAGCATCGGATCAAAGCAATGTTCATACTTGGTTTTAGCAACTTTGATCAGTTTAGTGTAAGAGTTTGCAGATTGTTTGGTTTGCTTTTCAAGGCGAAATAGTTGCCTGAATGGCTTAAAATCCTTTTCGAATTCCCACCCGTAACCCTGCAGTAATGAGGAAAGATCGGTAATTCGCTTGATTCTGTAGAGCTGAGTTAAGCTGTAATAGCTCTACAAAATGGTACCTAAAGATAAGAAAAAGACTTTTACGGAAAACAAATTAACGATCGAACAGTGTATACATACCTTTGGGACACCCAGAATTGCCTAAGATTCCGTCGATAGACTGTAGAACAGTAGGTCAAGCTCTTCCTTCTAAAAATCTGAAATTCTGAATTGTATCCTAGCTTCTTCATATGCGCTTATTACCATAGACTTAGGTTCAATACTGCGAATAGAGTATACTTCAGAGTAGTGCCTTTGATGCTGTGCGCAAAACGCTAAAATATCTCCTACAAAAATCTAACCAACGATCAACACAATAATAAGTAATCGAAGAATGAAAATTAGAATTACAGCTGTCTTCGTAATAAATAGGACATCAGCAATCAGCCACGAAATAGTACCTGTCGGAAGAAAATCGTTCTCCTAAATCTGTTTCCATAGAGATGCCTTGACTATCATTTTAGCTTTTGAAAAACCTCTTACAATAAGGTATAGGGCCGCCCACATATAAGGATCCTTTTGATGCTGTCGTTCGTGTATGTTACCTCCTCCAGGAGTAAGCATGGTGCAAGATTGCATTTTTGATTATCTACAAGCTTACCAGCTTGAATCCTACTTCACCAAAATAGACTTTTAGCATCCACAAATATCGCATTCAAGAAAGGGAAATAAGATCAAAATGACCCTTCATATTCACTAAATATATAAATGTCGTATAAGACCTACTAAATACAGAAATGTCGCTTTGATTATACTGCTTCGTTTCGGTGCTAGCGTAGCAAAATCAGTAATCTGCATGTCAGAAACCCTCAAAGGAACCAAGCACTGCGGCTCGAACCGCAAGTCTCAGCAAAACGCAATTATCCGTGCAATTGCTCATTCGGGTTCATTCGGATTCTTCCGCGTCTTTATTGCTTGAATAAATCGTTTACTTCGGATTCGCGAGTAATTTGTTTACATGCGCATCTCTAAGCACCGCCTATGTTTATCTTCGTTCTTTGCGATCTAGATCACTACCATTCTTATTATCCTAACCCCAGATAAGTCTGCCCAGAGACTCTCCAACTGAATCCGCCCCACAGACAATTCCTTTATTTCCATTATAACTAAGTACTTAGAATTTTGGTTATAAGTTCGAAGACTGTCAGATAAGTCAGGAATTATCTGCAGACGGACTCATTTGAGGGGAGGCCCTGTCTGTGACATTTTAGGGTAATCCCTGTTCGTAGATAAAAAACAACTTCAGCTCCCACCTAGCCCAACTCGAGGACAGTGATTGGTGTGCTCGAACTTAAGGTAATTACGAATTATCGTACAAATTTATATGTAGCTAGAAGCTGGGAGAGACTGAGAGTTAAAACTTTTACAATTAGGTAGTGGGCCTCATTTTTCTTTCCACATAAGTTCTGTCAGAATTTGTCTAGACAATGATCACAATCGGGTGGACCATTTCTTTCATAACTCTGATAATGAGGAGGTGGTTTTCGATATGAAACTTGGGAAAGATGTTGTTTCACAGTATCTCTTCCCGAAATGGTGTATGAACAACGTCTGGACTGACTGCGCGCTTCATTCCATTCCTGAAAAACGATACGTAGACTATTACTATGCGCGGTTCAGAAAAGGGTATATTGGAAAAACTATATTCTTTTCTTCCCCCTTTGGGTAAGATTCAATATGAATAGTTTTGTAATTTTACGCGGACCTTGTACTTCCAATAGTACATCAATATACCGCCGCCAAAGTGCAATCCATATATATTTACCTACCCCGATGGACAAAATTGGGAAGTGATGATTGAAAAATTATATTATCTATAATAGATTCTCGAAGGAATGGATGTTTGATGACGCTTAGTCGTCAAACACCGTAATTTTCTCTTGTCCTTCTTACTTCTTCATATCCATTTTCCTGAAATAAAAATCATAATTTGAGAATGACATAAGATCTAACAGTAATTTTCACACTGAATAAGCATAAACTAAGCCACTAAAACGTTAAGGTCTTTCTATCAAGAACGTGTTTGTATTCATTAGTGGATCTTATCTAATTTATTAAAACCAAACTAGCATATTATCAAAATTCTATGCAATGTGGGCTAAAGTTTTTGATCGTATATCATGTATTAAAAGAATACTCTGCTTTCGAACATTTCTATGTATACAGACGTTTCCCATGGAACGTGTGAAGTTGTGAAAAACAATTACTTCATACTGCGTATGAATCCTTTGCTTGATTGCAAATGCAAAGCTTATGACATCAGAGATATTGGTCACCGCCTAGACACATTCCACTTCTTCATTGGTCTCATCTTTTTGGGTTGAGGCTTAGCGAATTTGCCATGTGTGTTCATTCTGCAAGCTGCTAATTCTCTGTAGCTGCACAAAAGCTTGTTAATTATGCTTATATTCTCCATTTTCACCAGATTTGCGGAGGTTTCACATCAGTTCCTCATTTGAATCTTTGAAAGTAGCAGTTCTTGGTTATTTGCTTTTCCATTCTCGACAAATGCTCTGATACAAGACTCTCTTCACATTAGATATCCTACAATGTCCAAAAAATGTGCCCACTCTAAATTGTTAATAACTCTCTTGTCATTAAGTCTCTCGAAAAGCTTGAGGTACCATTTTGTAGCAAATCACGATAATTTCTCATTATAGTAAGATTACAGTAGGAACTTTCGGCATGTGAGGTTACAATGAAAAGCAGCTGCCATTATGACTGAATTCAAAACAATCCTAAAAACCTAAATGTAATAGGTTTCTCTAAGAGACAAATTCAATAATTGACTTTGAGCAAGACTATGATGATTTCTAAGCGCTGTAACCACATTTTTTGGCAACATCGAAAGAACGCCTGCTAGCGCTCACCTGGCATAACATTTTGAGGAAGCATTATTATAGTAAGATTAAAACTTCATATTCAGAATCAGCAACTCTGATCAACCTTGTGTGAGAATTCTCGGTTCGTTTGTTTACCTTTATGAACCAAAATATGACAGTCCGGCCTGAAACCCTACCTGAGTTCCTACCGTAATCCTACAATAATGAAGGGAGATGGGTTATTCTTTTTTATTTTGAGTCTAAGTTCCACAAAATGGTGGTTAAAGCTTCCCCAAAGGTGACAAGAGTGTTACTAACAACACGGAGTACACGGAGTTTGCCATCAAATTCATTGTTTGACATTTCTAGTGTAGATTGAACTCAGTGCTCGCTTACTCTTCAAGAGTCAATGAATACAAATATGCGAATCCTTAAATCATGTTTGGCTGATGTAGGGAAAGGAAATAGATCTTGTTCCTAGTCACAAAGAAAACTTTTCCACCGGCGGAATATTTTTACTTGTTGCTATGACTCTGCAGGCCTTGGTGATGCAAATATGTTTAGAAAAAGCTATTCGCCTTCATACATTTGCTCCTTCCTTTTTCTATGCTACAATAAGGAATTGACATGACTCCTACACTTATCAAAAAAATTTTGAAATCCTAGAGTCTGTAGGCAAGCAGACTGCTCCATTTGACCTTCTTTTTTACCAATGAAGAGAATTTTTCCAAAAACCAACTTCTTAGGCCCTCATCATTTCGAAATGTAACGAGTGGATTTTATTTAGGGAGGGAGGCTGGAAATTCGTCATTGCATCGTTAGCCGAGATTGTTGCCTCCATAAAATTACTTTTCGCGGAATTTGCTTCAACTTTTTCCATTTGAGTAATCAGCATTATGGATTGAGAAAGTAGAAAAAGATCAAGAGCTCTGAAAATGCTCGTCGTATATAGATTGGTTATTCAGTCTCTACTTAATCTATGTTGTTTGAGAAAAAATTATTCTCAAGATATACAGCCTTACGGTTTTTCCTGAAAAGCTATCGTTCCCTTTGTTTTTTTTTCATGCACACTTTGTTTCTTTTTTTGAGCCTCGATTTGGTGACCCAAACGTCACATTTCTCTTTATTCGTAAACTTGATTCGCTTCATTTTCTCAAAAAATGCTCACTTGGCAATTAACCACATTTATAATGAAAATTATACTTACTCAGATCCTACAATGAATTTCACTCAAGAAGTTGAAGAATGCGGGTTTTTCGAAGGTTACACACTCCAGCGTTTCCTCATTATCACAGCCTTCTCGATGGTCTCCCTCTTTGGAATATTGGCCAACTCCGTAAGCAACTCCCATTGTATCTAGTAGAAAAATTTCTCACATTGTCTTAATTTGATTTAGCTGTTGATGGCAGTGTTTTGGAAGACTCTGCCGGTCTCAGTCTATCTAGCCTGTCTTGCTTCAATGGATATGCTTATATGCCTCACGTATTTGTTATTATTCGGTGTCGACGCCGGATTCGTTTACCTCAAGGATAAGGTAATTCCAAATGAGAATTTTGTCGTAGGCCACAAACAACTCGCAGAAAGGGAAAGTGGCGAAATGCACTTCTAAAGGGGTGTCTTTCATAGTCGTATCCGAGTGTTCATCTGGCTAACAAAAACCGCAAAAACGATTTCAGACTACCGTTGGTTAAAATTCGCAGCAAAATATTTGGACAGCGTTTATTCAGCACGCTTCAGTGACGATTTCAGTATGCTGTAAAAATTTTAATGTTAAATATTGCGGAGCAGTTCACATCGTTCACTTAGTAATTAACTGCCTAACAGCAGTATGTGAGGGATTATTAGGGCAAAATACGCTGCATTTAGGAACTAAGCAGGAAAAAGTTGTGCATTGAAAAGAGTACAGCAATTTTTTTCATGTTGTTTTTGTGAGCGTTACGAAGAATGAAATGTTAGAAAACAATTTTTTGTTGAAGCATAGCAATTAGAAAAGGTTGTGAATGGTTGCGCTATTCCTTGTCCAGAAAATTTTTCACCATTCGCTTTTTTTATTCTCAGCAACACGAGTGATTTCAAAGTCCCATTATGGACATTTTCATATTGGTTGCATTTTAGGACCACAGCGACCCTCCACTAAATTGCCCAGGGGTAACAAACTGTTCAGATTAGCGATTTTTGTATGATCTAGCAAACTTTAGATTGATACAGCGTGCCAGGTCCCCGACAATATTTCATAAAAAAAAGCAAAATGCTTTTCTGATAACCCAATACCAACTTTTAAGTGACTCTAACAGATTGTATGTACATAACAAAACCAGACGTTACTTCCTTAAACTAACCCAAAATTTCTTCTTTTCAGACGTTATTTTTCTTATATCACCGCTACATTGTCCCGACTTTCTTCATAGCAAAAACTGTCCAGTTTGCAATACCGTTCTTGCTCATTCTCATCACACTTGAGAGATATGTTTGGACTACCAAAGAGAAAACGAGGTACTCAATTTTTGCAGGTTCTATGTGCAATCTGATGGCATAAACTAAATCATTTCAGGCAACTTTTTGCTCCGATGTTCAGTGACAAAGGCAGATGTGTCACAGTACTCATACTTGTTGCACTAAGCATACTGCTAAGATTGCCAGTACTATTCGCTACTGAGGTAGGATTAACATTACATTGTATGTAGTGCAAGGAACATTAGCAAATGCTAATAGGGTGAATAGAAAATCGCATCGCTACATCCTATCAATTATGCAGTGATTCTTCTACAAAAAAAAGAATAGCAAAGAAGATTCTTGATTGCAACAATTCTGCAGGTTTTGTGGAAGGTGAAAAAGCGAGAATGAATACAATTACTTGCGCGTATTAGCGAGCTTTCAGAGGGATTTTTCGCTGCAGGAGTGGTCGAGCCATAAGAACTTAACAAGGGAAGCCTACATGACACCACTACCACTAGATGCCTTTTTACGCTTATTCTAAATCTCTGTTCGCGAAAGAAGTTATGAGTTCTTGAATGTCCATTCGTTATGTTGCAGATGGGACAAAATTGGCGAAAAGCTGTACAAAAACAGCTGAAAGTATGTAATCAAATAACCATCAAGTACTGATTACAAAGGAACACAGAATGTGGAAATCCGCATAGGTGTTTTGTACAGCTTTTCGCATAATTTTAGGCCAATCAAAGCTTGACAAAAGACTTTCAAACACTCGCAATTTTTTCGCAGAGTTGTCCCGCAAAAAAAGTGGAAATAATTCAGACCATCGTTATGCTCTACAAAGTGACATAGTTGTCATGTGAGAACCACTTCGACTAAAAAGATTTGTAAGAGAGACTTGCAGCCGATTTCGATTTTTACAGAACTCCACATGTAGCCAAATGTTATATAATTGTTAGTATTCGCACCCTATTATAAAGATACCCTATTAAGCATGATCGTACCCTATTATAAAGATACTTTGGGTTCAATTTTTAATTCCTGCAAAATTCTCGGGCTGAACTAACTAGTGCCTTTCGCATATCCTTGTGTGAACATGTTCTTCCATTACTCGTAACTACTCACAATCAGACAAATGACCGGAACTTCCGCAGGGCGCTTTGAAGTTCCGCCGGGTCACCTGCGGAAGTTCCGTAAATGTGCTGCGGAAGTTCCGAAATGAGGTCCCGCGGAAGTTCCGAAAAATGCCAACCACAACAGCAAAAGAGAACACCTAAGTGAGATTTGAACCTTACTCTATTGACTGTGAGACTCGCCTACTAACCTCTGCACTATGGATGACATGTTGGATAATGCACTCTAGTTGTTGGCGAGGCAACATCATACGAGACAACACAGTCAAAGTCCTGCGGAAGTTCTGGCAGGCTAAAGTGCTGCGGAAACTCTAGAATTTTCGGAATTTCCGCAGAATTTTGAAGAAGGTCCTGCGGAAGTTCCGGTTTTCAACAAGTTTGGCATAGAAATCCCGCGGAAGTTCCGATTTTCCATGTTTTCATTTTTGCAATAGTTAACAAAGTCCTGCGGAACTTCTGCAAATTTGGCTTGTCCTGCGCAAGTTCCGGTGATTTGTTTGAGTATGACCTGAAGGTTGAATAAGCAGCTAAAGAAAGAAAATGAAACAAAAAAGTGCATATAGGCCGTCCGCGCTGGGCGCGGAGAGTGCGCAGTGTGCACTGCGTGTCACTCCTCTTCCTTCGTGCACTTTCGCCGCCTGTTTTCTCTGCGTCTCTTTCAGTCATGAACCACCTTCAGTGGACGCAACCGCGTTGCTCTCCGAGCACAGCGCGGACGGCCTATACCATTAGAAAAGAACTCAGACCAGCTATCACAAAGCAAATGCTCCACTTTGGGGTTTGAAGGATGAAAGACTTTGACAAAAAATCTCTGAAAAAAGTGTTTTATTCTTGTAGTTGCCTGACGCGGATAGAACGGAAAAGATTTCAGGCTATACTTGACTGCTATCAGTAGAGCTAACCATGTGAAAAATGTCAAAAACAATTTAGAAAATCTCACACTTCTAAATGACAGCTGTTGCTGAAGTTTTGATCTGAATGATTTCAGGTGCGACAGTTCCCTTGTAGTGATTATTTCCGCAGCGAATCCGTATCGCCTTCTGAATGGGCATCCAATAGCCGTGGTGAGTATGAAAATCCTCGGAGATTCTTGCAACTAACTGCTAGCTTTGCTTCAGCCTACTATGTCTTCGATTTCCATGTGATCACCGCTGTGCAAACGTGTTTTCCATTCTTCATGCTCCTCATACTAAACATGGTTATAGTCCGTCGCTTGCTTGCTGAGAAAAAAGAACAGGTAAGTTTCAACTCATATTTGTAAATTTGCGTCCCGAGTTGTCCGTGCCACTTCCGTGCCAGCGCCATTCTAGCACCGTGCCGAAACATCGATCAATAATTATAAGATGCACTCACGGCCAACTCGACACGGAGCTAGCACGGCGCTAGCATGCGCTGGCATGAGCTGGAACGGCGCTAGCACACGAACATCTCTGGATACTGCCTAAATTCGGTACCAGATATTTCAAGAAACGACACACTAATATTATGTTGCGAGATATAGTAGATTATACATTACCAAAGATGGGGAAATTCACTATCAACTAAACTCATAAAAAGCGAAACGCTGCTTGAATTCCCAATAAGCAATTCCATGAGCTTTTGAAGATGAACAGTCAGAATTAGACCCTTGCGAAAATTTTTCAATGTATCTTGCCAGAACACAACTGCACCTTTATTATTTCAAGCATACCTCGGCAATGTACGATAAGTGGAACGAATCAGAGCCCTGTTTTCGCTGAAATATTGACTCTCATCTAGCAAAATCTCAAGGAGCAGTTTCCCTACAAACTCTTAGTTTTTACGTTACAGCAGAACCATATCCGGGCAAAATCCTCGATTTATGATCTCGCTTCCTCCAAACAACTCACTTGAAAAGTTTTCACTTTGAATGCGTATTGAATGTGCATTGAATGTAATTCGGAATTGGGTCTTTTGATCTCAGGTTGAAAACTTCCCAAAATTAGACATTTGTATGTATACATCCCATAAAATGTGCGAATTGTTGAGTTGGTCGAGATGGAACAGAACTGCTAAGAAAGAATTTTACTTAATACTGCTGAATCCGTTTTCCTTCCGGGAACGCAACACTTTCCAGGCTTATGCTGGCAAGCCACGCATTGACTTCATAGCTCACAAAAATGCCTCCGACACAAATATTACGCTAACGGAAAATTTCGTCATACTAGAAATCGCCAGTGAGATCATGAGGGAATCGCTCCTGAAGAGGTAATTGACAAATCACTACCTACACTTCTATCATGTCTAGATTCTACATAATCAGCTAGGCGGTATACATTTACAGATCAAGCAGAGGGAAAGGATCGCAGCTAAGGAACGCCATTTACACCATGCTGGCCATAGTCATGTCTTACCTGGTGTGTAATGGAGTCCATCTCTTCCTTACTTTCCTGGAGAGAACGGATGCTTCATTACTGTATGATTCTGACGATCCAAATCAGTCCAGTAATTTCTACATCGGTGAGTACATCACTGACATATATGGATCTTGCAAACGACCGACTTGTTTAGCTTTGTCCGACACCGTCAGCATTTGCTACATGGTTTCGTCTGCGATTCGTATTCTCATCTATGGGAAATGCAATCCAAAACTGAGACGTGAAATTCGTGAATACCTACGAGATAGGAAGAAAATGTCTCTCATTGACGACTCATAATCTACTCTTTCTTGTTTGCTTATTGTATGTATATTTTTCTAGGCTGAACTGAAACAATAAAGATAAAGTGAATTGAGTTGCTATTAACCGAAGATACTTAAATAGATACTGACAAGGCCCGTCTTCCACGTGGCATGCAGGCTCCACTTAGGACTTTCCATTTATCCTTGTCCCTCGCTTTAGACATACACGATCTTCTTACTTGACGTTGGTGGCTGTGTCCACAAGACTCAAGCACAAAAACCGTATCCAGCGTTTTCATAGCTGGTTCGAGTATTCCACGAACATCTGCCAATCTTGTTGGTGGTCATTCTTTCGAGGTCAGGGCCCGGCAGGAGGTGGCATATCAGAATTTTGAAAACGATATCCCCTTTGAAGCCAAAATTTCTTACGTCTTCCCCTTTGACCCTATTTTTGACCCCCTTAAGTTCCTGACAAACAGATATACACAAATAATAAGATGGGCGGCCTCAGCGCTTATTATAGTAGTACTACTTGGCTTTCCTGGCCCAGCCCGGGTCATCAAGGTTTCAGCTCAATGGGTTCATCCGCAAAGGAATCTATGAAAAAAACATAGGGTCAAGATCTGCACAAACTTTGACGTTTATATATCTAAGATACTACTCATTTACTAGTCAGCTGCGAAACTTTACAATTTACATTAACCGATTGCGATTGGAACGCGCTTTCCGAGGCCGATCATAACGCTGTGAACCCTATTTGGGGTGTATCGAAGCGGTGCCTTGGTGGTTTTGGAAGCGGATTTGAACATATAGTAATACTCTCGACCTAGTCCACATTTATGTAAAGAAATCCGGGAAATTATGTGAAGGGAAGCAGGGAGCCACCTCAGGTGGCTCCCAAGTGGCGCGGGAGCCACCTAATTTCGAAAAACACTTACCATTTTTTAAATTCACATAAGTTTCTCATAATTCTTCATACTTTTTTCGTGCTCATGGTCCTCCAACTAAACAGCAAATTTGGTGCCATATCGTTACTTGTGCATTGAAAACGAGCCTATTTTGTTATTTTCCTCTTACAAGAATTGCGGTTTGAATTCCCGCCTGCGGGCAGGCTAGCGATCGGAGCACAGAATCTTCACATTGCTGGAATCTAAGTTCATAGGACAGTAGCATCAACAAGGAATGATGAATAAAGAATGATATGTGCACTGTTTATTGATAAACAAAGGGGAAGTCGTATTTTGGGGTCCGGGGCTCGGCCCCGGACCCCAAAATACGACCTCCCCTTTGCTTTTCCGGGCCAAAAACGATATCCAGCTTGTGAAAGCGCCACCCCCGCCGGGCCCTGTTCGAGGTGCGAGAATTTGATTCTGATGTTCTCAGTGTACATCTATCGTCTGTCCTTCTCATGAAGTAACCGGCTCATCGATACTTAGCTTTCGCGACCTATTTTGCTAGATCACGAAATGGGACATGCTTCTCACAGGACAGAAGAATGCCCTCCTGCGTGTTGTGAATGGTACGTAAAGCTTTAGAGTGGCCAGAGTGTCGGCTAAAGTCTCAGCTGCATGATGCAGCGCCTGGACAACGATTAAAGGCAGTGTCTCACCAAAGTAGAGACCGCGCGGATCTCCACATATTCTATCATAGGGCCTCTAAATAGGTCACTGGAACAAGTCCCACTCAATTTGACCCCCTCCACACTGAGAAAAATTCGCTTAAAGGCAGCGTCCGGGCAAAAACTCGATTTTGAGATTTTTTGCTTACCTGGGCCTATTCGCTACGCTGAATCCGAAAATGCACATTGGAGAGCGCGAAAATGGCGAAAAACGGCTCTAACACAGGAGGGAAATGAGCAGGTGGGCGGGCCCTCCCCACTGCGAAATCACGTTTCCGGCTTCCGGAGCGACCTTCTCGCTTCCGGTTTCAAGTCAATCATTCGCACTTGACCGGTAGCGATGTTAGGACGGCTGGCGGAATTGAGAAAATCGTTCCGGGAGCTGGGAGCGTGAAATCGCACTGGGGAAAGCCCCGCCCACCTTTTCCCTCCTGTGTTAGAGCCCTTTTTCGCCGTTTTCGCGCTTTCCAATGTGGATTTTAGGATTCAGCATGGCGAATAGGCCCGTATAAGCACCAAATCTCAAAATCGAGTTTTTGCCCAGACACTGCCTTTAAAGTGGTACGCGGAGAGCGATTTGGTACGCGCGAACGACTCCTTCGGTCTCCCCCCTTTAAAGGCAATGTCCGGGCAAAAACTCGATTTTGAGATTTTGTGCTTATACGGGCCTTTCCGCCATGCTGAATCCGGAAATCCACATTGGAAAGCGCGAAAACGGCGAAAAAGGGCTCTAACACAGGAGGGAAATCAGCAGGTGGGCGGGGCTTTCCCCAGTGCGATTTCACGCTCCCAGCTTCAGAAGCGATTTTCTCGATTCCGCTAGCCGTCCTAACATCGCTACCGGTCAAGTGCAAATGATTGACTTGAAATCGAAAGCGCGAAGGCCGCTCCGGAAGCCGGGAACGTGAATTCGCAGTGTGGAGGACCCCGCCCACCTGCTCATTTCCCTCCTGTGTTAGAGCCGTTTTTCGCCATTTTCGCGCTCTCCAATGTGCATTTTCGGATTCAGCGTAGCGAATAGGCCCGGGTAAGCACAAAATCTCAAAATCGAGTTTTTGCCCGGACACTGCCTTTAAGTCAAACAGGTTCGAAGCTCCGAGTTCGTCAGCTAGTCGAGCCTTCCTTCAGAGGCGAAAGCGTTTCACGCTGCTCATCGTGTCTCAAGTTCCTCCCTCAGAACGTTCCCCATGTTCCTCGAACGTCCAACACGCACGTAAGAAGACGTCTTCGTGATAGGAATGCCTTCCAATTCCATTTCCGCATCTTCGTATTTCTAATTCCATTCCCTCATCTTCGCAAATAACGTTCATTTTGATCTAATTTTTTTCAGAATTATTTGCAGTCCAGTCTTCTTCCCTACTCTCTATTTTCTTAACATCGTCTCTGCTTCAGTACTGCTCGAAAGGAGAACGATGTCGTTCAAAAACCGATGGTTCGACAGGAATCTCTCATCAACCCATATGCCACTCTCTGGTCCTAGTCCAGTGACTTCATTACCCACTGCAAGGCCGCGGTGAGAAGCATCGACAAGATTGTATCGCCTAGTCGAACCCCCTTCTCAAATCGTCAGGGGTGATGGAGGCTAAATCGTCGTTGTGCGGTCTTTAGCAGTCGGCTGATATCCTGTAAGCTGGATCAACAATCCTTGATCGATATTCGTTCGTTCTAACATTTTTCAAGTCGATCATTTGATACTTGTTCGTACGCGGAAATTTTTTGGTCGTTTCGACTACATAAGCAACAACCATGAATTTTCCTTCAAAATTAGCGAGGAAAGAGGTACAAAAACGGATATAGTTGATCCGTTGACCGCACGGATTGGACATCACATTTCTGCGAAGCACGCGCGGTGAGGTAAAACGCTTGCCTCAGTGGATTCGTCATTGTATTAGACCGGTCAGAAAGTTTTGTCGGTTTTTGGAACCCGCAAATTCCGTACATTAAAGATAAACAAGCAATTCAAGCTGTACCCAATGCAGAATTTCTTCCTTTTTCCAGCCGTCATATTCCCAACGTGTTTTTTTTTGAAAGAGTGCTGAGATAATCGCTGGAAATTACAACCCTTCGTTTCCACCAAGTCCAATTTCCGCTAATTTTCAAAAATTTTGTATGAGACTTTTGAGGAAGCTTTGATAGCCAGCAGAAAGGGCAAAACTTTTGTCAACTAATACAATTTTTTATAGCTCTGTGGCTTGTCTTTCAAAATTTCTGAAACATGTTTCTTGAAGTAAACAAATTTTATACTCGGCCTATTTTGACCCCGTAGAACATGAAATGGTAAACAGCTCAGGTACCATTCTATGTAACTTTTTCTTTACTTTCTGATAGTTGTCTTTTCTTGGCGAGATGCGCGAAACTTGCAGGGAAAATCGTAGTATTTTCCCATTTCACGAGCGCGCACTGACAAAACCTAAGTTTCGAAATCTTCATATCAAGCGAAAATCGCTCATTTAGTTTGTAGGGTTAGTAGTAATGATAATCCCATTTTAAAAACTCATTAATCTGAAAATTTTGCAGTGTTTGGTGCAATAATAGGATGCGAATTTTTCGAATTCTAGACTCTTGGAAAATTAATTAGAACTCTAAAAATGCAGCTGAAAAAAGAAGAAAACATGATGCAGTTAGCAAAAGGTTTGCCCTACCTTCTAGTTAATGAATATCCCCCAAACGTCTCAAATAAAAACCGCAGACCACGGTGCCGCGCGTGGTCCGCAGGGTTTGAGCACTCCGTGCGGTCAACGAATCGACGATAGAGTTTTCGAAATGATCCGACACAGAGTGTAAGGTTAATTTATAAAAAAAAATGACGACGGATTTGACTGCAGTCTTTGCGCCCATAGGAGCATAACATCCTCATACAAAAAGGCATCATCTCAACGCTCAGCTCAGTCACTTCCAGTTCCAAGTACTATTATACCCAAGCAGAAAACCCAGTCCAAGTACCATTATACCTAAGCAGAAAACCCAGTCGAGTAGAGATTAAAACCAAGAAAAGGTTGCCGGAAGGTGTGTACGTGTCGCGAGCGGTCGAGCCATCGTCACGAATTTTCGAATGCTTTACAACCAGCATCCTCAGTCCGGAATGGTTCAAGAGGAATTTGAGTTCTCTCAACTGCAATGCAAAATTTGAAGTATAGAAATCCTACTTTTGCTTTTCTCAAAAACTACTAGTTCGATTTTTTACTCACATTGTTTAGTAGAGGTCTCTTTGGATTCTTAGTAATTCATTTGTATTCTATGACAAAAACTTGAGCTCATGTGCCTCAGTGGTTTTTCGTGGCAACGGTGCAAAAATTGGCTCCACTTATTTTGACGCACATAGTGCATACAATGGTTTCGGGCAGGCACAAACAAGCTGGGAATGCTTTGCGCCGGTACAAGTTCGGGCGAGGCTCCCTATTCTCCATTAAAAACCTTATAAAAACTATATTGTTCTTAGTTTGTGGTTACAATTGCGTACTCCAATTGGGGAGTTCGCGGTTGTCTATTACAGACTATGAAGGATATTGTTTTTATTAGGGCATGCGTGAATTTTTGTCGTTACAGTACCTACATCAGTCCACATTGTCACTTCAAATCTATACTTCAGGTTCTGCTATGCGACTTCGACAAAGTACGCAAATTTCTGTTGAGTAGCTGAACAGATACATAAATCAGCTCTGATTTACCAAAGGCTTGAATTTGCTTCCATTTATAAGAAAAATAAAGAGCTCAGGTGCTAAATTGTCATTGGTTCTGCCAACTTAGCCCAAACATTTGCCTAGAGCTCGCTCACTGAAAGGCTTGGCAGTTTTGGAAGGCAAATTTAGCGTCGCTTAAAGGCGGTAAACTATACATATTTTCGCAAATACGTCAATATCGCGAATATTTGATGATACTGACTCTGGGATGTCTCGAACGAAAATTAAAATTATATATTGGAAAGGCTCAAACAGCATGGCGTATCAAACAATGAAAACAAACAACAAGCTATATCTCAACTCAATAACAGGCGTGAATGTGATAACCGTGAGCGAGTACGAGTTCGCGCACGAACCCCGAAAGTACCACCAACGTTAAATCGCCTCGACGGCCCTTAACCATAAGATAAGACCCTTATATTAATAAATTAAACAGCACAACGGTTAATATACAAGAAAATGGACTTATCACCATGCAAGCCTAGGCTTCGTTAAGACATAAATAATATCACAAGCAAAAGACTGAGAAACGATCGAAGGACTGACACATCTGCGCGAAAGCAGAGTGCAGTCATAAGAGAATATAATTGTAATCTAGATTCAAAGGTCATTTCCGGTGAAGTCTCCGAACTCCCAGATGTTCTTTCTTTCACGACGAGCTTTCTGTTCTGCATTTTCGTATTCACTCAACTGCAAAGGTAAACAATGAAACTTTAGATAGAACAAAGCACAGTAAGGTAGGAGTAATTGCAGATACTAGGCATTGATGCACAAGAATTATTTGATGAGAGCGAAAAAAGAAATATTTCTTGAGTATTTAGAAACTCACCATGCTCTGGAGTCTTTTTTCTTTCCTCTTCTCGACAAGCGCGAATCCGTCTTCAATGAGTGCTTTCCCAACATCAACTTTCTTTCCTGCACACTCAATCATCACCTTAAAAACTGGTTTGAGCTCCACTCCTATGCAGAAGAGAAATCGTTTTTGAAGATAAATTACCTGACAATATTCAACGGTGCCTATTTTGTATTCAACATTAATTTCTGCAGTAGGAACGGAGAACAAAAGCTGTTGGAGTGCATCTTCACACTGCAAGCCATACTCCTGCAAGTACAATCCACGTGAACATATCAAATACAAACAAGCACATGTAAAGTCCTACTTTGTCATTAGGTATCGCAACCAAAGCAACTCCGTACTCCCTTGCACCAGCGGGAAAATGAGCGAATCCAGCAGGAAGCTGTGCTAACGAAGACGCAGCTACAGTTTCGCGCTACAACGTAACAAGTTAGAATGGCGTGGATGATTGTTTGAAAGGGTAGACATACGTTTCCGTAATCAATGAAGACAACTTCAGCTTGGCCAGATCGAACGCTTTCTACCTTGGCGCGATACCACAAACCATCCACAGAGAAAGGTGCGGCACATATATCACCACGCTTGAATGCAAGGCAAATGATTAAATTGTCGTAAAATGTACGATATATGTCCAACCTCGAACTTGATTTCTAACACAGATAAACAATGATTTTTGCGAAAAAAAAGCACACCTTGGGATTAAAGGCTCCAGTCATAGGTGGATGTTGACGCAGCTGCTCCCGCAAGTCTGCTGTCATCTTCTCCAACTTTGGCCCATCTTCAACTAATTGCGCAGCAAAGTTGAGGGTACCCTGAGTCAGCCAACATTACATATAGAAACATCTGATATAAACAATTCATGGCTCCTCCAGCGGAAAATATGAAAAGAATCTTCAATAACAAAATCTTATTTGGAATCATCAGCGCTCTACAATGGTAGCGAACTTATCTGAAGAGGCCGACTAGGAACACTTTTCTTGTAAATCGGGTATGAGCACTTTCCCGTATACTAAAGACTAAAGCGACTGCCAACGGCGCAGTAGGCCGGGTTAGTTCAGTTTGGCCACGACAATTCGCAATAGAATATACCGCAATCATGAAAGTAATGATGGGGCGGTGGACGAGTGAATCAAAAAATATTGCGAAGCAAAATTTTCACCAACTTTAGTTATGTCCGTTACTGCCACTTTTTTGTAGTTGACCTTTCTTTCAGTGGCATCGTTCTGCTGAGCAACCACTTCATCTGGCACCACTTCCTCTTCCTTGTAATTTTGCCAGATGTTTCGGCTATAAAAAGGAAACTCAACTGATGACAACAACTCGAGATTTCTTACTTAGCAGCTTTAGCACGCTGTTCCGCTGCAGCGAGCTGATGGTAGTGGGGACTCTTTTCGGCAGTGAAATGGAGGGTGGCCAAGCCTTGTTCTAGCAGCAATTCGGAAAGATTCTGGGGCTTGCCGCCGCCCTCCGGGACGGTAAACAAGTAACCAATGAAGTTGCCCATTTTATCTAGACCTTCCACTTCAATCTCAACTTCATGTTGAAGTACCAAACGTCGTGTAAAAGCGGCCGCTTCATCTGCAAAGGGTTCCGATGGGCCCGTAACACCTCCTGGACCAGGTCGACCACTCTGAACGAGGAAGTTTGTAATCAGATTCAATAATGAATTTCGAAACAATTCACCTTGGGACAACTAATGCCTCCAAGAAGGAATGTGATAACAACTGTTTCCTTAGGGATGTAAATCCTAAGTCTTGAGCCACTAGCGATGAACTCTACCACACCCTCCGCTCTGGAAAGATCAAATGAAACTGCTGAACCCTGATACAAGAGTGTAGGGTCGGTTCGTTTGCTGTCGCCTTATTAGCGCTACAAATCACACACATTCTACAACATAAGCGATTATGTCAAAGAGGAACAAAAATACCTTGTACTTCTCTGCAAATATGGGAGGAACTGTTTACTCCTTGCGAGATCTCCCTGTAATTCTTGTATCCGAAGCGTGTCCTTCTTGTCAGCAGTCTTGTCAGCAAACAATCCCTTTTTGCTTTTCTCCGCATTAGCTTCCGCGGCGAGCAGAGCATCGTACTCTGAAGACCTGAAAACAAGCTGTTTTCAAAAAAGAATCCGTTACATTCTATGGCAAAAAACACATGGACGCGGCCGCTCGATATAAGGCGTTGGGGAGAGAAGTGATGTCCCGTGCTCATGCTAAAAACGCGGCACTCGAATATTCCTGTTGAACAAAACTACTAATGCATATACTTGATGCTAACATCTTGACTTACTACCTTTGTTCATAGCTTATAATGTTTAGAAGGGAGATTTCAAACTTTGCAAAAGCAAACTCCGATTTACCAACCAGTAAAATAAGTAGAGAAAATCGCTTTACGAAGCGGGAAGTTTACTCCAGAAGTTTCCACAACCAGCCTAGTCAGCGTATAACGATTTCGAACAGTTAGCTAGAGTGCGCGTTCTGTATAAGGTGCGGAATCCCCTTGTGCCTTCTCAAAACACTTCATGCTAAAGTGCCATGGAGGTGAAGTAGAGGGGTGGTGGATGGGGGCGGATACATGACTCGATGCCATAGAAGGATAAGTAGAACTCCGTACTATTTAGCGAGAGAGATACTTAGGTTGCTTTCCGCGCGCCTCTACCCCCTCCCCCTGCATTCTGCACCTTACGACGGAAGATCTCCCAACGATGCGCGCTCTAATCTGGGTGGTCTCAGCTTCCGCCTGTCCGAATTCAAAACCCACGGTGAAAAAAAGTTTGCGACTCTCTTTGAATATGTTTTCGGGATCACGAGCCGGATGAGCACAGATAGGCGTAAATCTCCAGTTCGACATTTAGCCAAAACTTTCCTTTGTATCTACCCCTCCGTCCACCACTTGCAGAAAATTTGCAAGAAATTGGATAGGCCCTCATTGCCTACTCATAGCTTACCTTCATTGCTAAATGGTTTAAGAGACTGGCCAGAAGATTGCGATTCTGAGTTTTTTTTTCTCAATTAGATTGACAAAAGACGTTATGCCAAAGTGGCAAAAATGCTACAACATAATCTCGCTGGTGGCTACATGATCAAAAGTCATTGCTTAACTAATTCGAAGCTCATTTGTTGGATAAAGCAAATTCAGCTGCGATGCATGTTAAAATGTCACAGCAGATAAAATTTACCTATTCTCGTCGTCAGATCGATGTCGCACAACCTTGCTAAGGCCCTTGAGGATTAGTGCTTCAGCGATATTGAGTTCACCAATTTTCACAGTACAACAAGTCTTCTCAGGGAACTGTTCTGATTTTGGTTGTATGTAGTCAACCGTAACATTGACGTTCTTCCCGATGAGCCTAGAATGACACGTTACATAAACAGCAATCCTGCCCAAATTGACATACCTCTTACGAAGAAACTCCCTAGCTTGGAACATAAAAGGAATATCATACAAAGGTCTGAACTGGCGGCCTACAGACGGTTTTTCATCGGAATCTCTTGGCAGTCTCACAGAGGCAAGATGGACTTTCACTTCAGATCCGTCTGCTTTGCGAACAACTATAGCATCGGACATGACGACCTCCACGACCTTTCCAGTGAATGCCTTTTTGTCGCCGCTCAACGCGCTGGCTGCTGAGGGTTGATAGCTCCTCCACAGCCGCAGCTTCTTCTCCTTTGCTTGTCTGTAAACGATTTTATTAGACTGACAATGACCATTCCATAGACGGACTTTTCGGCTGCACGCAGGCGCTCAGCTCCACCAGTGCATAGTCCTATGCTCCAGTCGACACATTTCGCATAACCCTCGCGTAGTAGGGACTCTGCAATATTGCCCTTCGGATGAAGCACAGATCCGACTAGGTTTTGATTAGAAGTGGATTCTAGTATAACCTATAACACAGACCATCTTGTACGCATGCATTCGTGAGAAACTTGAAGATGCGTGACAATACCTGAACATCTTGCTGCAAAAGCCTTTGCTCTACAAAGTATTTAGCCTCTTCAGCAAAAGCTTCAGCCTTTCCGTCCGTTCCAGCTCTAGTTGCTGGTGCTCTGACTCCCGAAAGTTGCAGCGTTATATACTCGAAACTGGGCAAGAGCATCACACGCAACGTGGAACCATCTCGAACCCGAAATAGATTCACAATATTTATTTGAAGTCTAATTTAAGAAATTAGATAAATGACTTGGCACTGGGTATTCAATATCAATTTTTCTTCCACTGCACTAACCCGCTTAGTTATCTACTGCCAGATTTTCAAAAGAGAAAGAAGGCAGAAAACGATGAAGAATATTCGACTTACCATTTCAACGACAGCATCAACCGGTTTCTGCTTGTAGTGATCAACGAGCTCTCTGGGGTTCTCTATCACCCACTTGACTTCTCGTATCGAACTGCTTGAGCTACCCCACTTTCCCTTCCCAGAAGCTTTTGCTTGATCTTGTAATTCAAGAAGTTTCGTGACGTATTCACTGGAAGAGTATTTTCAAATGGAGTGCTACTGTACTGGGCATCCTCTTACTCAGCTATCTTTCCGGGCCTGACTTCGAGCCATCCTTCTGACACTCCTGTCTCCGTGACGTTTTCAGCATTATCAGGATCTTAAGAGAAAGAGAATTGCAGTAGCTGTACGCAAGCCACAGTCTAAGGATACACCCACTAGTGCCTCCGAGGTAGACTTTTCCATGGTCTCGTCCGGAAGCAGCGGTGTACTCCTTCACAAAAGTAACTACATGCCCGACCAGTTTCTTACGAAGGAACTCACGTGAATCCCAAGCGAATGGCTGAAAAACAATAATGGAAGAGCTCAACAAATAATTTTACACGCCGTGTTTGATAATAGTATTCAAAGTAAATGATGAAAATGGAAAAGCACACAAAAAATGCATCATGCACGACTAAGGGCCGCATGCACTAACATCCCCGCGGGGAGGGGATCGCAGCTTAAAAGAAAGCTTTATATTTCGAAACTCCAGATACCTGGATTTCACGTTGTGTACCTATCCGTAAGTATTCCTATTACCCTTCACTATGAACATGTTGAAGAGGAGCGAGAAGCTGTACAAACCGCATTTTCCAGCTTTTGTATGATCCCTGATGATCCCCGGCGCTTTTTTTCAAAGTCATTTTTCTTTCTCCGAAGTTAACGAAGAATCTCCAGAGTTGTGCAGATTGTCTAACCCGACAGTGCTAAGCATGTTGCTGCTAAGAACAAATGATGTTTTGAAGTCATGAAATTTGCGATGATCCACAGGTCGAAATTTGAGGCTTACCGAAAAATTCGACTTTTCAAAAAGTCATTTGTTCTCATCAGCAACATGCTTAGCAGTATTGTGTTAGATGTTCAGTACAACTTTGGAAGGTTTTCGTTAACTTCGGAGGAAGAAAAATGACTTTAAAGAAAAGCGCCGGGGATCATCAGGGATCATACAAAAGCTGAAAAATGCGGTTTGTACAGCTTCTCGCTCCTGTTCAACATGTTCATAGTGAAGGGTAGTAGGAATACTTACGGATAGGTAGACAGCGTGAAATCCAGATATCCGGAGCTTCGGGATATGAAGCTTTCTTCTGAAGCTGTGATCCCCTCCCCGCGGGGATATTAGTGCATGCGGCCCTAAGAATAATCAGACCTCATCGACTGTAGCTGCCGTTGTCTCAGTAGGACGTTTGCCAAGTCGAGGTGCGATAACGTTACTCAGATAGACGGTGGTCTCGGGTGGAGGTCCATTGGTTGGCTGGCCTTGAAGGACTACTGCATCTCCCGACAGCACCTGGAATTGGTACATATCATATGCATGAAGTAGATCAAATAATTAGAAGGAAAATGATAACGATCCAGTATAGCAAAAAAGAATCCGTAGTTAAATAAACATAGACTAATTGGTAAGAAATTAACTTTGATGTTCATCTGCGTTTTTCTTGCACATTGGAATAACTCAGCGCACATGAAGAGCCTATCTCAAAGAAGACATCATGTGTCTCACAATTTCTATTCAGTGCGCCGTACTCTCCGCTTATGGGTTTTGGTCAAATACAGGCAACTACAATAACTCTTCTTATTCATATGAACCGCTTGACAGCCTAACGTTCGCGGCTCCATTTTTACAGTGCATAACTCTACTAGTGTACGGATGTCAACTTTCCCGCTCTGTTCTGCAACGAAATCAATACCACGTAATCAATACCCTGGTGGTTGGAAAGAGGATGCGCAAAATGTCGACTTGCGGCCACCCGCGTCATCACTGTATTGGTGGAGTTCTCCCGCTCTACGGTAACGGGATCATAGGAATTTCAGTAAAAGTACGGCCAAAATTGAAAACAATTTTCCCGCTTACAATAGTTAATCAGCAAAACATGAATAAACTCCCCTATTTCGCTCAAAGGGTTAGGTCGGTAAGCAATTTTTCTACAGTTCGATCTCCACAAGAAAAACTTATTATTATATACGAGGTGACCCCATTTATAGCTGCAGGTCACTTGCATTAAATGACGACCGATCTTTTATTTGTAAAAGCTTGCTTCAGGAATGCGCCGGATGCAAAGAAAAACAGGCATCTATCTCAGACTGAAACGAAGAAAATAAGCTCACTTGCTTCACGAAACCACGACGAAACGAAGGCTGTGAAGCTGCAGTCGGTGGAAGAACGGGAGGAGGAGCAGTAGCAGCTGGGGCAGCAGGAGTGACGTTATCGGCCATGAAACAGAAGCTCAGAACAAGAACAGAGTCCTTGTTACTAAAACTACCCTGAAAAGAGATCAGTGAAGATGTGTTCACAAGTCTCACGTAAGAACTTTAAGGGAACGGGAGATTAATTCAAAGTGTGCATTGAAACGCTAGAGGAAAATGGCCTGGCATAAATGCAATCAGCATAGGCAATCAATTCAAAAAAAGCTGAATATCAATGAGTGATCCTAGAACTCCCACGACCTATATGGTTATCGCCAGCCCCTAATCAACGACGATATGCCGCAGTTAGCGACAAATTATCAAAGGATACTCTTCACGAGGTTAGAAACCACCGTATCGCGAATTACCGAGCTACAAACGAACATCTTTCGGCTGGTCTTGAAACGATACTCCGCGGTTTTGATTGGGTCGCAGAAACTATGAAGGTTTTATCTTTTTGTTTCCTTTTTCAAGTAGTTCATTAGAATCATGTGTTTGAGGACTGCAGCAATTCAAGAGATGGGAAGTTTGTCAAGACCGTTAGTTTCAGGTAAATGGGGTTCACTGGAGGTATGTTCTTTGCTCTTGTACATGGATTGTGTTAGTTCCTGTTTTTCCAAACTTCTTGCTCATTTGAATGTGGAAGACTGGAGCTGGTGTGGAAGAATCGTTTTTCAAGTAACCACTCTGAAACATAACAAGCACATATAGTCGGAAGTCTGGGAATCTTGGATTTTCGACCGTTACTCGTTTGAAGTTTCAAAATTGCGTAGATGAATCATGCACATTTTGGTTAGAAGTAACTATTCATATATATGAAACTGCATCATGCATGCCCTAGATGAGCGTTTCAGGTGAAGGTGAAGATGATATAGCTCACTATCAAAAATACACCTACAGATCGAAATTAGCATGATGCTAGCCTTCTTACTGGCATCTTCACAGCTTTTTTAATTTCATTTCAGTTCATTCCATCTATTAACATAGATGTTAGGACTCTGTTTTGGAACAGTGTCTCGGCAACTTGATCACTGCGTCCAACACGCAGCAAAAAATACTTTTGTTAAAGTTTTCAAAGGGTGCAGCTGATGTTGGTGAGGATAGAGAGAAGGGATTTTTGTGTTATAAAAGTCACGTTCGTTTGTGTTTTGGAAGTACGGTCTATGCGGTAGATCTAATACATCGGATACAGTCTAATCTTCCCATCAGTGCTGATCCAAGTGTGCACTATTTCTTGTTTGGAACCTCTAGATTGCCTTTTCACACAGAGCAATGTGAACCGTGGCTTCTGTTATCTGTATCCATCTGCCTCTGCTTTCCATTGTATCGCTAAATTTTTTTTCCAATCAGTGATAATCCCTCGGATCGTATAATTCATGCTCTGCTTGTCTTTATACCGATTTTAGGTTCGGCTATGAGCACAGGTCATCAACCTGGCGTTTTCAAGAGACCTGCGAAAGCTCACAAAACATTCAAAGGGAAGCGATCAAAAGGTCAAATTGATGCTGAGAATCGAGGTGAGATAAGTTATATGATAAAATGGAGATGAGTTGAACAGTATACATGATCTAGGTAGAGTTGGAGTATCAGCTGTCATCAGATCAAGAAAGCGGTTGCTTTCCAAAGAGGAACGGCATCAAAAGGCTGCTCAGATACGTGCTAATAAAAGAAAAGCCGTAATCGAGCGGCGGCGAGGGTTAGATGGTGGCGTGGCCGCACCGACTTTAGTTGTGAGTCTCTTCTGGTCAAGATTGCTCTTCTTCTTCTCATTCGTCTTCTTCAGACAGTTATCTCATTCGGAAGCAGCGCCACTGACTTTGTCGAAGGTGTTGCCAAGTGCGATGAGACTATTGTGCACACGCAAGGGCACAATGTGGATTATTTGGCGTAAGTCCGTCTTCGACTCATTTCATGGTCACATGTTTGGCTTTAGTATTCCTCGATTCAAATCTCGACTAGGTTTCCTGACTCCGGATCTTTCCAAACACGACAACGTGCTTGACTCGATCAAGGTATTCAGTTTTCCTGGTACTCGCCTTTGCCATAGTCCAGATTATTGGAAGCATAACCCTCTCCTTTCAACCTTTTTTCATTACTCGTGTTGTCGGATTTTGGTACTGTTGGGTAGTAGATCCCCAAACTACATTGCAGCCTCAATCTAACCATCCATACGCACTAAGCCCTGAATAGGCGCTTCAAAAGTCCACCAGTCTAGCCCATTTCCATGAAGTGGAAGTCGGTGGACTTCAGTAAGGCGTTTTTAGGTCTTAGCACATTGGAAAGTAAATTTGGGGCTAGTGTGTAAGCGCATGAATTCTGAGGTAAAGTTGGGCTAGGGTTTACTTAACACTACCAAAATCTGGAAGGGGTCCATTTTGAGCCACTGCCTCTAAGAATACAGCTTCCGTATTATCAGTTTCTCAAAGAGGTTTAGTCTGGTTTGTGAGTCAGCTCATTATGAATGGTTGGTTGCGCAAGTGCATGCAGGCGTTGGAGGCTGCTGAACGGGGTTATTCGTTATTAGCTGAAATTTTGAGTTGAGGATAGTAGATTTGAGTTGCAAACTAAGTTGCGATATCATGGTGTAGGACCAGAAAAATGAGTTTGATCTCATATGAACTGCTGAACCAGCGCAGTACCATGCTTCGCCTATTTTTTTGAAATTATTCCTCATTCTCAGGTTTCCGATGTGGTATGTTTTCTGTGGCCTACCGAAGCCGAGCTTAGCGAAGAACATCATTTGCTTCTCACCATCGTCAAATCACACGGTATTCGTCAAATTTTGAAGGTCAAAGACTTTCTAATTGCAGTTTGATACAGGTTTGCCCTCTTATGTGAATGTCGCGCCACATCTTAACGAGATTCCATTAGGGAAGAAGCGTGAAGACGCAAGGAAGCATGTACAGACACTCATAAGCGAAACGTATGCATACATTATTCAGTTTTTGATTGAACTACATAATCTGTTCATTTCCAGCAACCTTACTTCGAACAAGTTGTTTTGTTCCGATTCGACGGCGGACTTTATCTTACTTGTTCGGCATTTTATTGATATGAAAAAGAACAAAATGCTATTGCAAAAACGCCGTCCACATATATTGGTGGAGAAACTGGATGTCGTTGACGATAAGGTTTGCAAGAATGTTGTCGAAGAAGGTTTCTCAGTGGTAACATTTCAGGCCGGAATCTGTTCGATTCTCGCGACCGGGTATCTGCGCGGACCCATATGGAATGTCAATCACCTGGTGCATATTCAAGGATGGGGTGACTTTCAGTTAAGCCGAATCATGGCTTGTGATGACCCAAATCCACTCAAACCAGTATGTTCTGATAGTTTTATACAAAGAATCAGAACCTCAACTTGCGCATAACGAATTTATTACTCTTGCGCTTAAATGTCCATGCTTTTCTCTCTGAACTTACATAGGCCTTACATAGTTGATCCATTTTTTTTCTTTGACTGCCAAATTGCTTCCATTTTCTTTATAGGGAAACCCAAGAACGGCCCAGTCTATCCCAGCAGAGCCAAATGTTTTGGCAACAGCAGATGAGTCTCTTAGGGAATCACTGCAGTCCGAAATTGTGCCCGATCCAATGGATGCTGAGCAGACTTGGCCTGATGAGTACGATGCTAAGGATGACGGCAAACGTTAGAGTTTTTATCTTTCCACTGTTATAAACAGCTCAAAATCTAGTGAAGAATGCTCCTGGAACTCGAAATGTTCCCAAAGGAACTTCTTCGTACCAGGCTGCATGGATTCTCGATGATGACAATGCGGAATCTGCGGGTGAAAGTGACGGAGAGGTAAGGTGGACATTTTGGAAAGAACCTATGTATAATTTCACATTAAAGGACGAAGATGAGGACGAAACTGCGGAAGGGTTGATGGAAGTAGAAGCAGAAGATAATAGTGAAAACGATGAGCCGGAGGCCAATGGCGCATTTGATGATACGGCTTCAGAAACAGCCGATGACGGAGAAGATGAGGCCGATGATCTTGATGAGGTTTGCTTCGCGTATTTTTCAAGTTTTGAGCGAATTCAGTGTCATTTTTAAGCCTGAGGTATCTGTCATACCTCGCGCTGTTTCAGTCGCAACGCGATTTGAACTGCTGCGATCGTTCACGCACTTTAAGCAAGGAAAATTTAGCATGTTTGCATCAGCTTGCAAAAGTCATGCGCCTACGATTTGTAATCCGCGCGCGATGGGGTTCATGAAAATTGGCGTTTTGTTAAATCACGTGGCGTGCGATTTTGCCGAATCGCTCGAGGTAAGACCGATGCCCGAAAATCATGTCTCCCATGCATAACTTGTTTTCTAGTTTCCTGTGGTATATTCTCGGTAAGATTTTTTTATTGAACGGCATTTACATTGGATTGGGAGCGTCTATCGTCCTCCTGCTGTTTTTTTTTGTTGTGTTTTTGTTTGTTCTGAATGACAACTTTCAATGTGATAGGTGGAGAAATACCGTCGAGAAAGAGAAGATGCTCAGTTTCCTGATGAAATCGATACGCCTATCGGGGATCTTGCCAGGATCAGATTCCAGAAGTATCGTGGCCTCAAAAGTTTCAGGTGAATTCCTTGCTTCTTTTGAGTTGAGACTTAGCCAAGCTCATTATTGTAGGACTTCCCCATGGGATCCCAAAGAAAATCTGCCATCCGACTACGCTCGCATATTCCAGTTTCAAAATTATAAGAAAACCAGGAAAAACGTATTGAGCCAAATTGACGATTACGATCCGACGTCGTGCGTCTGCTCAGGGCAATATGTAACGCTACAGATTGATCGAGTCCCAGTCACCTTTGCACGTCAGTTTCTTTCGTTTTGTGTTGCTTTTCTTCACCACGAAAAATTATCTTGGACAATGTCGTTATCATCCATTGCAGAACAGTGGAACAAAGATGATCCATTGGTGCTGTATCAACTGCTGCCGCACGAACAGCGCATGTCCGTGCTCAATTTTGTGATACGTAAGCACCCGTCTTGTCGTGTTCCAATAACGAACAAACAGGTGCGCTGCTACTCAATGCCTCTCTTATTTGATTCTTTTAACCTCTACGCTACTTTCATGCCTATTGTTCAAATAATTTTCCAGAAACTGATTTTCAACGTTGGATTTCGGAAATTTGAAGCATGTCCTGTGTTTAGTCAGCATTCTAATGGAAATAAGTTCAAGGTATGATTGAATTCTTGATGGTTCTGTGCCAGATGCTTAGATTTGTCATTTCTTGTAATAGTTGTGTTGCAGATGGAACGATTTCTGCCCGCGAATACATCATGTGTGGCTACTGTATTTGCACCTATAACTTTTCCTCCTGCTTCTGTACTTGTGTTCCGAGAACGGAAAGGTGGAAAGGAGGTGCTGAAGCATTTTTTTTCCTTTTTGTTACTGCTGTTGTGTCGCATACGCGTTTTTTCCCGAGATCTTCATCACGCCTTCTTTATTAGTATTTTTCATCACGAAAATCAAAGAAGATCCTCTTTGCCTATAGGATGAACATTTGTCTGTCTGATGTACAAGGTCTCATAAGTGTAACCCTCCAAATGTCAACAGCTATCTTCCAAAACACAATTTTGCGTATTCAAGTACCCATCAAAGTAGGCTTTAGTTTAGATTTACAGTGCGGAGTGAATCACCCATTTCGCTTTATCACTGGATTACGGTAGGAAGTTTTTTTCACCAGCGCCATTATGAACTAGTTCTTCTTTTAGAAAGCTCCAAAATTCTTGTATTTATAGAGCACTAGCTGTCTTACCCGGCTCCGCCGTATGTTCCGAATAGAAAATTCCATTTCTTAACCGATCCGGACCAACTTGGCACACATACACTTCGAGCCCCGGCGGGGGTGATCAGCATGCTCGATTACCCCCCTCCCCTGTGCCAACTCCCAGCCCCGTAGCTCAAATTTTGCAAAAAATCGATAAAATCGACATCGATCGATAACGAAAAGTGGAGTGTGACACCCGCCGGGGCCCGAAGTGTATGTGTGCTAAGTTTGGTCCCGATCGGTTCAGAAATGGAATTTTCTATTCGGAACATACGTACATACAGACATACAGACACATACAAACAGACATTCAGCTTTATATATAAGATTGTTTTCAGACTTGATTTCATTGAACAATTTAAAGGTTCTATGATTCAGTCACGTTTTTGAAAAACTTTGAAAAAACGTTATTGCGGTTTACCTGGCAAGGCTTATGAAGAAATTCTTGTAAAGTGCGAAATCCGTATTCATAGTCGATAGTTTGGCCTAGTTTTCAGCTTGTAAAGTATCTATTGGGACTAGCCATTGATGGCTTGAAACCCTTTTCAAAATTCCTACCGTAGTCCTACAGGAAAACAGCGATGCGTGATTCTCTAAGCTATCAGTCCGAGTTGAAGCTTGCTTCTGAATGATACTCCAAGCCAAAGACTTCGTGGGAAGAGAGTTATTTACGACTAAAAATGTGTACTTACTTCTGGGACACCATGTATAATTCACATATTTCTCACCCGCTGTGCAACAGTCAATTAATACTCATTGCAAAACGGGACCCAAATTGCTATTATCATGACTTGCTCATCCTAGTTTTGCTTGCAACGCATATAGTCGTTCTGATAGTAAAGACTCGCTGAGAGTCGTATCTTAGCGTGAATGTGCATGCTCGGATACTTCAGAAATTCACTGTTTTAGACTGAAATGTGATCGCTTAGTTTATTATCCCATGTTCGGCTTTGAATGAATCTTGGCATGGTGATGAATCCTTATGTGTAGTTGTTAAGCCTTGACCAAGACTGTTACAACTCTTTTATTAGGCTTACGTTTCGGCTGATTCGCCCTCTACCTTCTTCGCCTTCTAGTTTATACCCTAACATAGTTCTTGCTACCTTTCTCATACCGTAACTTGGTCTTGTCAATCTGCTGCTCATCTTTTGTTCATATTCGCCTATTTAAAGGCAGTAGACAGGCAAAATGGACCCCTGTCAGATTTTGGTAGTTTCGGGTAGTGGACCCCCCAATTACACCGTAGCCCCAACCCCAACTTCCAGTTGATACGCTAAGTCCTGAAAAAAGCGCTTCAAACTTCCACCAATAACGCCCACTCAATGGAAGTGGGCGGGGCTGGTGGAGTTTTGAAGCGCTTTTTTCAGGACTTAGCGCATGAATTGGAATGTGGGGTTGGGGCTACGGTGTACTTGGGGGGTCCACTACCCGAACCTACCAAAATCTGACAGGGGTTCATTTTGCCTGTCCGCTGCCTTTAAGGAGAAGGTCAAGCGCGATTTCTCCGGCTGTCACCAACTCAAGACTTCAGTTTACTGCTACGCAAGTCTGCAAAAATATCTGTTGTAGTTCATTGGCTTACCACCTGTCTATGGTTATCATTTGCTGAACTTGGGGATTTTTTGCTGGAAAATTGACCGAAATATTCACGAAATTGCACTGCATCATGGGTTTTTGACCTTAAAAATTGCTGTTTTGAATTAACTCTAAGGTAGCAAAATTATGGAATCCATGAAACGTCTGATTATCTCCTTCTAAAATTTAAATACTTTTAAAATGTTGTAAAACACTTATTATTCGCTATTTGATGTCCATCTAGCAATAAAAATCGCGCCCTTGACATACACCCCTCGCTGGGTCTACCTTTCCCGATCTTTTTTGGTCACATTCTCGCTATGTAGATGAAACAATCACTGCTTCATTAACAAAATACTGCAAGCTGATCACAAGCTCAAATTATCTCTGTCGAAGCTTGAGCATAAATATGCTAAGAAATGCGAATTCAGAAGCGTGCATTGTAGGAACTGGTTGCCGTCGGTTCTCTGCTCGACATCAACCCCGATAGGGTCATTCTCAAACGGATAGTGCTCTCTGGTCATCCTTTCAAAATCAACAAGCGCTCTGTAGTGTGCCGCTATATGTTCTTCAACAGAGGTAAAACTGTGCTTGCAAAGGTGAAGCTTTGATTTGTTTTCCCTTTTTTTTTACAGAAGATATCGAATGGTTCAAACCAGTGGAACTATATACACCAAGTGGACGTCGCGGTCATATAAAAGAAGCCCTAGGTAACTTTTTTAGGCCGGTATACCGATAAGATGAAAAAAGTGCTCAACTTTTGATGTTTTAAAGGGGATGGCTTGCACATTCCTCCGAGTGGCCCTCCTATTGTATTGAGAGTCAGAACAAATTATGCCATTATTAACAAATTATTACTTTTCCCGTAAAACATCTTTGCTATCATAATTGGAGCAAAAATTTGCTTCTTCCATGAGCTCAGTACTATAAGATTATCCTGAAAAGGTAAGAGGAAATTTGAGTAGCTATTGGCGAGCAACAAAGCCGAAAAATTTGATATTTATTCTTCACTAAATACTGTCAAAAGTTTGTGTCCTTCTGTAGGAAGGTATATCACCCTATTTCAGATTGGAAAGCCTTTGTGGAAGTGAGAGAAATTTGAAACCATTTTGAAACATTAAAATATAATATTTTCTTATGTTCCTCTCTTCTGTTGCAGACGCCTACAGGCCTTAGAAAAGAATGATTTTAAGGAACTCATGGGCACATGAAATGCCGTTTCGATCAACAGTTGAATGCTAATGACTCCATTATGATGTCTCTATATAAGCGAGTGTTTCCCAGATGGACCTATAATCCGAGGGTTTGTTGAAATCACCGCATACTTATTATACCATCAAAGACGAATGTTGAAAAAGTTATTTGAGGTTCCTCGTTCCACTGTAGCAGTACAAGAAAGCGAAGAAATGGATGAATGAAAGTTGTTGTTGTTTTTCAGAGTTTATACATTTTTCTTTGGCGTCAATGAGTTGTTGAGTTGATTGTTACTCTCGTAGTGCATACATAGCCTATGTTAACAACTTGCATGTTGATTGTTACTTGTTACCTTTTTGAGAACTGATGATGAAAAGATTCAATCCATCTTTTATTCGCTGTGCGAATGGTTCAGCCTTCTATCACAAGTGCTTTTGACAAATGAAAACTTTTCTAATGCTATTCTTTTCTTCATCTTAGGTCCTCTTCATTTTAATGCATGGATCAGACAAAGAGAAGTACGAGTCCATTAGCTATTCTATTTCCGCATCAAAATGCTGAAATTCAGGTCGCGCAGCAGAGTTAGAGTTGGGTCGATTCAACGATCTAATCGAATCGCTGCCCTGCTCTTCCACAGAGCAACAAAAGCCATTTGTTGAGGTACATCATTTTTGCAAATGCATTTCCATGTATTGAAAACCACTCGGAACTTTATGCGTAATCTCTCTTCAAAATAGTAAAACTGGAATCATGATTATTGCCTATGGAGCCTATTTGAGCCGAAAGAACGGTGGCTTCACCAGATGCGCAGTATTGCACGGGGCCACAAGTGTTTGAAACCACGGCAGACATCCGCAGTGAGATATACTCGGCCGCTCACGCCATGAGAACGTCATCATCGTGTCGATCGAAAATCGACATTCGGCGGAGAGATGAAGCTTCTGTGGGTACTCGTAAGCGCGCATTCTGAAAGGGGACAATTTAATTATCACATTTGAAATCCAAAATCAGTTCTGCTTCTGATTAAGGTTTTTCGAGTTTTCGTTTATGCTCAAAGTTCCCCAGATTTTCGCCTTAAACGGCGCATCTACTTGTATATTTGAAAGCCAAAATAATCTTCCCCAGATTTTCGCCTCAAACAGCGCATCTACTTGTATATTTGAAAGCCAAAATAATCAATGGCTTCCGCATTGGGCTCAATGGGAAATTTTGACTGAAAATTTTTCTTCTGTCTGAGCTGAGTGGATTTGCGAAAATCTGAAGCAGTCCGAACCAACAAAAATAACTGCGAACTTCATACGATTTCTGCTACATTCCTCAAAACGCTCCTTTGTTATCACTACAATTATTCCTATCAAGCCTTGGCCATACTTCACACAATTTCAGTCGCCACGCGATCCGACAGTTTGTTATATGTCCTCAAATCCAACAGCGGCAGACCACAAATGCTTAGTCTGTACGAAATCCGTGGATTGACAAAATGCACTATCTTCTGCATATTCAGAGCGCGAGCACGAGAAATGGACAATGGAAGTAGCCAAATCGCGTCGCGTTGAAATCGCATGAGGTATGGCCGGGATCATAGGATGTCAGAAGAATCAAATGGGTCAGATTGTACCCACCTTTGAGCCTCCACTATCTCAGGATTCGGTCGCTTTTCACAATACGGCATACAATCGGTGACAATTACGAATGCAATCACTCCCACTGACCTGGAAAATTTGGTGGAATTTTCAATCGCAAATTAGATCATATTGATTCTCTCTGTATTTCGTATACAAAGTCCAAAAACAGACCATACATCCGACTTATAGGGGTCATATGGTTCTCCTTTGAGAATCTCCGGAGCTGAGTATGATTTTGAGCCACAGTACGTTTCCGATAATGCATCACCTCTGATCACCTAAAAGACATCCTCTAGCATGCAAGTTGCGACTCAGCACTATTTCACTAACACTTCTTGCAAATCCAAAGTCGCCGATTTTGATTATTCCTTCTTCGGGGAAAATCACAATGTTTTCTAGTTTGAGATCACGGTGGACTATGCCTCTCTAAATCTTATTATGTTTTTATCCTTTGACCTTTTGTTGGTTGATCTCCTTAGGCTGCGTCCAAAGTTGCACGTGCCAGCTCCGTGTCAGCGTGTGCTAGTGCCGTGCTGGCATGTCGATCAGTCATACGAAGCGGGCCCACATTGGGTTTTCGACGGTCCTAGCACGCGCTGGCACGGGCGACTCTGGACGCAGCCTTGAGTCGCTGTTCTTGATGTTAATGTACCGGCACCTACCGTGTGCATGTAATATACAGCCGAGATCACTTGAGACATCCAAATCATGGCTTGGTGTTCATTTACAGGCCCTTGCCGTTGAACATGTTGAAGCTGAAAATGGCTGCTTTGTTAAAACTAATACTGCTCTTTTTTGCGTAGTAATTAATTATTGATTATCAAGCATACTCATAGTGTGGCAGCAATTGTTTTGTATTTTGAATACTATCTGAGCTAAATGAAGTCTTATCTAGTTGGAGGTCGCTTTTCGAACTTTGAAGGCTTGCTGCATGATAAGTTTTGCGTTTAGCATATACCCGGTTTCTTCTTTTTGGAAATTGAGGCTGTCGGCTCAAAAACTCTTGGTCATTAACATCATACCTAATTGAAATAAAAATTCAAATGCAGATTTCTTGATGGCAAAAATGTTTCGGAACATTCTTCATTGCCTCTGCTTTGACAAGCCGAAACTCTATCGAATGACGTATGAACCTCAGCAAACATGCTTACATCACAGTGAGCTAATTTTGTTTTTGTTTGCTTGACAGAAAAAGGTACTGGGAAAATTCCGAGTTGCCTATTTACTCTTGATATTGGCACGTTCATATACAAAGTATTCCAAAAAATGTACTTACTGTTTGATTGTTAATAATTCTCTCGTCATAAGGTCTTGGAGAAGCTTCAGGTAACACTTTGTTGAGCTGGCTCCAACTTAGACTGACAGTACAGAGCGAATCGCCAAACTGCTCTTCATCTGTAAGGCCCGTATGCACGTATCTACATCCCCTCGGGGAGGGGAGGGGATTTGAGAGGGGGAAACGTTATATCTCGCTAGTCTACATATCTTTCTCCTTCTTTCTCTATCTTGCTTATGAAGTTTCTCATACACTGATACCTGCGCATAACGGATGCCAGGTTACTGCCATACAAGATTAGATATTCACTATCCAGATGATCACCTCACATTTTCAAAGTCATTCTTCCTGAAAAATCAATGACAATGCTGCAAAATTTTATGAAGATATACTATGATACTGCTGAGCATGTTTTCGACAGAAGAAATGGAATCTGAAGGTTTTGATTTTTTCGATAATCCCTGGCTCGCGAGCAGCGGTTCATCGAAGATTTTGATATCTTGAGATTTCACTTATTTCTACCATAAACATGTTTAACAGTTCTGTAGTATATCCTCAGTACAATTTCAGAGCATTTTCATTGAGTTTTCAGGAAGATAAATGACTTTGAAAATGTGAGGTGATCCTCTGGGGATCCCCAGGGGAGCAGACAAAATAGTGAATATTTAATTTTGTATCCGATCATGTGCACTACCAAACTCACTGGAGCCGCTATTGCGCAAAGCTTAAAGCCGTAGCAACACTGCCGAAGGGCAGCGATTGGACTGAGTGCTGGGGATAGCCTAACCGGGCCCCCACAATGGTCGGTCGCCTCATCGTGGCGTGGGGTGACACTGGGTGTCGAACTGCGATGCACAGCCGAGTGTATACTCTGGCAGGGTCTCCCAAGCTGTGAAGGAGTTCGACGTTTCCGGTCTCGGCCAGATGCCTAGCTAAGAACCGGCCACGCCGGATCCCCCGCCGTCTGACTTCTTCTAGTCGCTAGGCGGTTCTCCCCGCTCCAAGCCCGGGGTCAGCGATCGCCCCTGGAAATCAAGAGTTGGCCTAGTAAGTCTACTCTTTTAGGAGAACAAATCTTATTCCTCAGACAGCAAGAAGATAAGGAAAAAAAGCTGTTCATCGGATCCCGCCTACGGCGCCGGGTGGTAGCAAGAACGATGTCAGGGACCTTAGGGCGCCTTTTGGATCGGACAAAAACGACACGTCTGCCCGGACGATACGCCATGGAGACTGCCTCATGCTCTGCACCTACAACGCCAGGACAGTCTCCACAAACGCCGACCTCCACGCTCTTCTCGACGCTGCAGAGCACATCAAGTACCACATCATCGCTCTGCAGGAAACGAAGTCCAGGAAGAAGGACGTGCGACAGATGAATGATGGAACACTCATCATTCGTGGTGAGAAGGTTCCATCACGAAACGTGGGAGGTGTTGGCTTTGTCGTCCACCCATCTATCGTCCATCTTGTCGATTCGCACGAGATCCTATCACCCCGACTAGCCATCCTACGACTACGCCCTCCACGTCAGAAGACCATCAGCATCATCAACTGCTATTCTCCAACATCAGCAGCTGACGAATCAGAACTAGATGCTTTCTACGAAGATGTGGAGGAGGTCGTCCACAACGAGAAGTCCTTTTACAAGTTTGTTGTGGGCGACTTCAACGTGGAAATCGGGATGCCACTGGAGAAGGAATATAGGATCGGGAAGTTTGGATATGGGCTCCGGAACGAAAACGGCAACCGTCTTGTTGGGCTTCTCTCCGCCGCACGACTTTTCCATGGTAATTCCATCTTCATGTAGAAAGAACATCGCCGGTGGACATGGGAATCGCCCAACGGAACGACTCACGCGGAGATCGACCACATTCTCACCAACCGAAGGTGGAGCTCGCTCGACACTCAGTAATTCCATCCTTCTGCAGTGGCTCCAATCACCGCCTCCTTCGAGCGAAAGTACGATTCAGTCGAAGGCTGGAAAAGAAGGTCTGCCACAGTGCCGCAAGAAGGAAGAATGTCGTTTATGACGGTAACAGGCTGGAGGAGCTCATATCAAGTTGTGACTGGCCCATCGAGGAGGACCCAACGTACGACTATGACCGGCTTTCGAAATAATTGCGAGCCTGGTGCGCCTCAGTGACTTCCGAGAAGAACGTGGAACGCATTTCGAAGACCACCAAGGAAATGCCCGAAAGAAGAAGAAGATTTCTGAGGTAGGATCCGAATGCAACCCATCTCGAGCGACTGATAGCCAACCACAGTTGCAAAACAGCTTTGCAGGAGGATCTCAGGAAGTACAGGCAAGCCAAGATACTGGAAGCAGCCGAAGGAAGGCGAAGTCTCAAGAAGTGCCGAAGGGACCTCTGTGAATATCACGTACCGCTGGCTGCACTATTGAACGAAGACGGGACTCTGACTTCTTCCCGATACAAGATGGAATCTATCGCGAAGAACTTCTATACCAACCTCTTCCGCTCATCCACACCCGTGGCGACGCCCGTTGTTCCCACTGGAGAAGCACCACCACGAATTCTACCTGCTGAAGTGCGCACGGCGATTCAGACCATGAAGACGTCCACGGCTCCAGGACCAGACCATCTTTCCGTCGAATTTCTGCGAGCTGGAGGACAACGTCTACACGAGATTCTCGCGTCGCACCTGACATCTTACCTTCAGAAGGAAAGGATTCCCGACCAGTGGAGAACATCAAGAACCGTCCTTCTTTTCAAGAAGGGTGAACGGGAAGATCTTCTGAACTACCGTCCAATATGCCTGCTGAGTGTGCTGTACAAGCTTTTCACGAAGATTATCCTCGCTCGCATATCTAGGACACTGGATGAAGCCCAACCCCAAGAACAAGCTGGATTTCGCAAAAAATCCAGCTGCGTCGACCATATCCAGGCGGTTTCGAGGGTTATAGAAGTCTGCCGGGAATACCGACTGCCTCTCGTCCTAACCTTTGTCGCTACGAGAAAGCCTTTGACAGCGTCGAAACCAACGCCATCCTGTCTGCGCTGGTCGATCAAGGAGTGGACTTATCTTACGTGAGGACGTTAGCCGACTGTTACAAGGACTGTACAACGACGATGCAGCTGTTCCATCGCCTCTGACTATTTCAATTGGGAATGGGTCCGACAAGGCGACACAATTTCGCCGAAGCTGTTCACCGCGGCCTTGCAGCGGGTGATGAAGTCACTGGACTGGGACGAGAAAGGCATACGAGTTGATGGGAGATTCCTGCCGAACCTTCGTTTTGCGGACGACATCGTTCTCTTCTCGAGCAGTATCACTGAAGCAGAGGCGATGCTGAAGGAACTGAACGAAGTAGGGAAGAAGATCTGATTGCGAATCAATCGGAAGAAGACTCAGTTCATGAAGAACGCCCTTTGCGAAGATGCAGAAATGGAATTGGAAGGCACCCCTATCACGGAGCCGTCTTCTTACGTGTATCTCGGACGTTCGATGAACATGGAGAACGACTTGAGGGAAGAAATTAACAGGAGAAGAAGAGCAGCCTGGGCCGCCTTCGGGCCTCTGAAGGAAGCTACCGACCGACTGACGGACCCGGAGCTTCGTGCCCACCTGTTCGACTCAACCGTTCTCCCGGCGCTCTGTTACGCAGTTGAGACTTAGGCTGACACCGTAGCCACTTCGAAAGCTTCAAGGACTACCCACAGAGCGCTAGAGCGTAGTCTTCTGAAGATGACCCGACACAAACAACATCTGTTCGGACTTCGCAGTACGGATATGAGGAGAATGTCCCGTCTTCGTGACCCAGCGGAATACGTTGCGAAAGCGAAGCATCGATGGGCCGGTCACATTATGAGAAGAACAGACGACAGATGGACACTAAGAACATCGGAGTGGATTCCTCGCGAAGCAAAACGTCCCCGAAGAAGACCTCCAACGAGATGAGCAGACGCGTTCGTGGAACGGATGGACCAGCTGAGAAATCAGCTGGATACGATTTTTGCACCTGGAACTCGTGGGCGCAGCCACCGACGTCAGCCAAGAAGATCGTGGATGTCTGAAGCGAGGGACAGGGAGAAATGGACTTCTGGGCTGGGACCCGCACTTCACGTGAAGCCGGGCCATCTAAGTATTTAAGTAAGTAAGTAAGTAATCTTGTATCGCAGTAACCTGGCATCCATTATGCGAAGTATCAGTATATGAGAATTTTCAAAAGCAAGACAGAAAAAAGAAGAAAGTATAGACTAGCAAGATATGACGCTTCCCTTCTCAGATCCCCTCCCCTCCCGCGGGGATGTAATGTACAGTCTGCCCCAATCCCAACCAGGCCAAAATTGGCATGGCGGGAACCCGTGTCGCGAGGGTATTGCGTCACGTCTACGGTTAGCCAGTCTGCTCTCTCCCCAATTTCTTCGCTCTCTGCGACAGCGCGCGTATGCAGCGCAGACCCCTAGCGTTGCGAGCGCGCAAATATAGTCAGTGGTTTGGCCTGATCCCGATTGGGGCAGACTGTACGTGCATACGGGCCTAAGATTACGGTAGGAACTTTGAAAAGGGTTTTTAGCAATGGAGGGTTATGTTTTGGCTCAGAAAGGAAACAAAGCGATGAAGACTCTCACACAAGGCTAATTAGAATTGCTGATACTGGATATGAAATTTGCAAGCATTATAATGCTTCCTTAACACATTGACGACCTTGTAGATTTTTAGTTGTCTGCCTTTTGGGACCAAGGCCTTTTTACGGACCAGCCCACTTTTTCAAATATAATTACGCGTACTCCCATCTACAGTACACCTACAGTAGATCTAGATCTGAAAGGCTGACAAGAAAGGTAGAAGTCACCCCTAGTATCGCGCAAAAGAAAGCTCATGGAGTGAGTTTATTTCAGGATAGTAGTCATTTTACCAGAATTCAAGCCTTGACACATATGGTGTGTCAAGCGGTCCCACGCGGTAGTCATTGCTTGACACACCATGTGTGTCAAGCAGTCGTCAATGTGTTGAAAAGTTATGCCGGGTAAGCAGTAGCAGCCGTTTTTTCAGTGTTGCTAAAAAAATATGGTTACATCGTTTAGAAAGCTTCACTATCTTATACAAAGTTGAGTGTCAAAGTCGGTGTCTGTGAATAACCTGTTACACAAGTTTCCAGATTTTTTAAAATCAAATTAACATGGCAGGTTTTCATAGTGATGTGCCAGAAGCCAAAAGTTCCCACCGTAATCTTACAGTAATGAAGAGCGATTGGTGATTCGTTTCATATTGCAGATCAAGTTGAAGCAAGCTCTACAAAATGGCTCCTATTGACAACCAGACAGTAGGCTTGTTTTCTATCCGAAGCAACAAACAATTTTTGATGCTCGAGAGGAGGAGTTTGACCATCAGCAGTAGATTGTAGCTAGTGAAGCGTTGGCGGCTACGGTCAATATTCGGCAAAATGGTATTCGTATACGACGGATGTAAGGTGGTTAGCTCAGTACTCCAAATTCCACCATTTTTTCTGATTTAGGCTGGCTCACTGCAGATCAGCACGCTGAATTAATTCTAAAAAAGATTCATCTCGGTAACTTTCAATCGGATATTCAGTAATCGTTAGAAGCTCAAATACCGAAAAGAGCGAAAAGCGCGCTATGTTATGCCTGATTGTTCTAATATGAAATTGTTGCATGGCCATTCTTTTGCAGGTGAGTCAAGAAAACGCGCAAAACTTTCGCATTGACTTAGTACTTCAATTTTTGTTCTCCTCCTTTTGCAAATGGAAAGGTTCGAGAGCGGTTTTGATATCATAGTGTTCTGCCAAACGAAAATTGAGAGCCATTTCTATCAATTCATCGACAGTGCGAGCTTATTCATAACGTTGTCTCAAAGTGAATTAGGATTTGCTTGGGAAATTATTTTTGTAGCTTTCTTGCGCGGCGCTGCAGTACTTTGCCCAATTTTTTGAGTGATTAACCCAAGCCGTGGCAAAGGTTTGTCGTGCTTGGCTTTGATCAACACAAACATTGTAATTTAAAAGGTTTCTATCTCGTTCTCTTCGTGCATGCCGCTTCCACAATGCATCATTTAATATGACCCATTTTTTATTGTATCTGTAAAACTACAAGTGGGCAACTGACCATGTCTCCTCCACTGGCGAACTCCATTGTGAGGAACACATGCTGCATGGCCTCATAGTGACCCAAAATTCTAACGAGATGCGGATGGTTTAGGCGTTTCCAGCACTCGATTTCACGAGGTAGAAATTTGCAGCGAAACTCCTCGGTAACTTTTTGCGTGTTGATCATTTTGATTGCAACCTGTAAATTTTGTTAAGGTGATCCAAAAGTAATGGTGTACCTCAATTTCTCAAATACTTTCGAAGTCTTTCTTCGAATAACTATGAACAACCAGCATTTGAACGCTTTTGTGTAAAGTGACCTTTAGATTATCCTAACAGCACCTTGCAGCACCTCACCCACAATCCCTCGAGCGACGTTTCGAAGAAGTCAGACTTTTCTTGAACGCCATCCGAATTTGTGCTGCTGTGCCTCAACGTCCCCATGTGACATACAATTGAAAGAGCTTTTCAAGCTCTTTCTAATGATTACTTGAATCTTATATATAAGGCTGAATGTCTGTTTGTCTGTCTGCCTGTATGTCTGTCTGTCTGTACGTATGTTCCGAATAGAAAATTCCATTTCTGAACCGATCGGGACCAAACTTGGCACACATACACTTCGGGCCCCGGCGGGTGTCATAGGCTACTTTTCGTCATCGATCGATATTGATTTTATCGATTTTTTGCAAAATTTGAGCTACAGGGTTGGGAGTTGGCACAGGGGGGTAATCGAGCATGCTGATCACCCCCGTGGGGGTGATCAGCATGCTCGATTACACCCCCTAGCTCAAATTTTGCAAAAAATCGATAAAATCGACATCGATCGATAACGAAAAGTGGACTGTGGCACCCGCCGGGGCCCGAAGTGTATGTGTGCCAAGTTTGGTCCGGATCGGTTAAGAAATGGAATTTTCTATTCGGAACATACGGCGGAGCCGGGTAAGCCAGCTAGTGTACAATAATTCCCATTATGCTGTATAAAAAAGGCAGTTTATTCGCAAAAGTGCGATTTGGCGCGGATGTGCAGGCTAAAAATCATGCCTCGTAGTTTTTTTTTAAATGAAAAAAGTCTAGGCGAATTGATAGAGCGTAAAAAGTTCCACCAGGTTTGTTATGTTCTAACATCTGTCAAAACTTAAACTTCAGTCAGGTTTTCTGTTTGAAAAAAAAATTGCCTTTACTCTCTAGGTGCACCCTTACTTTTGGATCACCGTAATACAACGCTAGATAACCATCAACATCCCTGAAACGTATACTCACCGATTCTCCGCTAGGCACCATATTACCCGTAATAACCTTGCTGTATCGTCCACAGCCAAGTTTTATGGAGTTGCGGAGATCGATGTTCTTCTCAAGGAACAGTTCGCACAAAATCTCGTCTTTTGACATGTGCACCCAACCTCGTGAGCTCTAAAAATAATTTTGTTCGGTGTAAGTGCCGTTTTGAGCTGCGCTGCTTTGACTTACCGCTTCTGACTTAATCCGAGTTGGCCGGGTTGAGTTAGTATTCTCATCTCCACGGTCCGTACTGTAGCTGTAGCAGTTCCGTTTATACTCTGTTTTCTTCTGCTGATGAGGTGATAGAGTTTGTCGAGCGTAAGCTTGTGGCTGCACGTGTACTAGTGGAATACGTCTTGCGTGATGTACTTCCGGCTGAAATCGAGATTTCAACAGACCAAGCGAGCAAAGAGCTAGCTAGTAATATGGATGCGAAATTATAGTTTGCTCCCTTGAAAATTACTCGCGAGGAACCCTTGTACGAGTCATATCTTGCTTTCGACCTTTGTCTTGCAGCAGTTCATTCTTCAAGGGTCATTGGTTTAATTGTAGAAACCAGTGCGTCACCTCTGCTTTGCATTCGTTTTCAGTGGCTCTGGGGGCCGCATGCATTAAAAGCATCGTCCAATCAGTTTCTTTCGACTTCTATGTTTTTGTCTTTCGGGGCCTTTCCATTGTCTTCGATTCCGAATATGAAGTAGAAAATCCGCGAAAGCCCCTACAATCCCCGTTTTGACCCATGGGGCCGCTTTCTGAATGGTAATTGGATGGACGGGCACTATATTTGGATCCGAATCATTCATTCAAATTTCGAATCATTTGAATGAAACTTTCGATTATATTCGCATTCGAAATTCGATAGTCGAAGTTTTTCCATTTTCAAATAAAATCCGAAACTCGAATAATCAGAAAACAGGGTTTTGTCAAAATTTGAAAATTCGAATAATCCAAAAAAGGGTTTTAAATAGATTTTATCCGGATGTTTTATTCGATTTCTACTCGAATGTAATCCTTGTACATCACTCTTTTTCAGACCACTCGAAGAAGAGTTTTCTGGGCACCGCGTAAGAATTTATTTCAACGATTTTTAGTTTAGATCGCTCAGTGATCCTCTTCCTAGCTGGGTATACGGTGCCAATCGCGAGCAGATTTGATTTTCGTATATTTTTTGGGTTTTCGTGCCTGCATTTTTCAGCTTTCATTCTGCTCAAAAAACCTATGTTTATGACTGTTTCGGTTTCTGCTGCGATGTTTTTTGAGCATGCCCAAACATTGCAAAACTGAAGTAATTCTCCATAATGATCTTAAACTTTCGAACTATTCCATAGTAATAGATTGTAACATAAGTCTTGTTATACTTTAGCTACTTGCGGCGATAAGTAGTTACCTTCTCAATACAGCGTCAGGGTAACATTCGATAGAGCAAAGCTAGCTCTACAAGATGGTGTGCAAAAGTTCACACCAGCTTCGAACCACAATAAGGGTGCCTTCATACCGAGCCGGCAGCCGCCGCTAGCAGCCCATAGCAGCCGCCAGCAGCCCGTAGCCGCCTTTTGTCGCAGAAGTGCAAAATCATCAAATTCTTACTATTTTAAGTGCAATCGACCACGCTTTCCGTCTTCCGCGCTATTCTTCCTGTTGTCGCAATTCGATCTCATATATGATATTTACGTCCATTACTGTTATTATCTTGTTGCCGTACATTGGTTATCCTATTGGTGCTTAGTTTACCTCTCGCAGTTGGATCATATTTCGACTTTGCGTCAAATTTCTGCAGTGTTGCTTCAATCATATCCTTGGCCGGTGCTTATCTTAAATAACTCTGTAATGGTGAAAGTGGAACCGCACATTAGTCGCAACTAGAAGAACGAGAAGAAAGAAGCGTGGGAGAAGGAAGGCGTGGCGGGCGCACTTAAAGTGGCAAGAATTTGATGATTTTGGCTTCTATGAAGCTGTCATCGGCGGCTACGGGCTGCCAGCGGCTGCTACGGGCTGCTAGCGGCGGCTGCCGGCGCGGTATGAAGGCACTCTAAGTCTGTATTCAGAATATGAGTCGCACTGAAGGCTTTAAAGGTATTGGATTATTCATATCCTCGTTTAAAAAACTTACGAATCTCCAACTTGCTCACACAAATTACAACCAACTCAGACACTCATACGTATCGTTCATGGATTTTTTCCTCATCTAGAAATAGAGAAAACAAAGATTTTCATGCTTCTTGCTGTTTCCACCCATGTAATTGTATACTTCAAGCCTTTAGAAGTATAATCGTAGATTTTCAGCTTTCCATAGGTCTTAGTTTTCGAAAATTACAATTAGCTCTTCTCCTTCGAATGTTATAGTCTCACCCCACTAGTCGGTCGGTGGTCGAATTTGAAGAACTGGGGCAGGCCGATCGCGGCGGAGCGCGGCAGACCGTCCCTCAGCCAATGGCTTACACATGAGCTTTTCTCTTATTTTCTTCGTGTTTCTTTCCTATCTCTCGTATCGCGGCAATGTTCTTGATCAGATTTTTAGATTTCATACCGCTAACTATTGTTTTGTGCAGTTGTGCTCGCTTGTTACATTTTTTTCCTGGTAAACCGGGAAGAAGGATGCGATTGGAGATTTCGGATGAGAAATCTCTTTTCCGCTAAGTGACATATACACAAATGTGATTTGATGAACTGTGTAAAGTTTTCCTTCGGAATGTATACTTTAAACTATTTTTTTGGGGGTTAAAATTCTCCCAAAAAGTGTTTGTTTTAAAGAGAAATCCGAAATCTAGAAAATTGATTAGGAACATTGCCGCAATATGAGAGATAGCAAAAACACGAAGAAAATAAAGGAAAAGCTCACGTGGCAGTTGCCTGACGGGCGGTCTGCCGCGCTCTGCTGCGGTCGGCCTGCTCTAGTTCGAATTCAAATTCGATCACCGACCGACTAGTGGGGTGAGGACGACTTTAAATACTAGAATCAGTATTCCTCAAAAACTAGCACTTGTGGAAATCCGGAAATTTACGGTTATACCTCATACTATACAATTACATGAATGGGAACAGCGTAGCTTCGTATTGTATAAGCATGAAAATCTTCGTTTTCTCGATTTCTAGATGAGAAAAAAATCCATGAACGATACTTATGACTGTCTAATCTGGTGTGTATTTTGTCTGAGCAAGTTGGAAGTCCGTAGATTCTCTTGAACGAGGATATGAATCCTCTATTTTTTGAGCCTTCTATGCCACTCCAATTCCGGGTGCTAACTTATGGTGAGTCGAAGCTGGTGCTAACTTTTGCACACCGTCTTGTAGACTTGCTTTGCTCCATCGAACGGTACCCTGGAGACTCATTAAAGGTAGTGGCTCGGCAAATCCTCGACCTAAAGTTTTCTCGCTTACCCAGGGTAATTCGACACACAGAGTCCGAAAATCCACCTTGCAGAGCGCAAAAATGGAAACCAACATTTTCCAAGACTCCTCATTTTGAATCTGGACGAGTGGAGCGATTCCGGCCATGATTAGAGACGCATAGTCGTTGCGGGACATCCGTGGTTATAACATTGCGGCATGCCTCCTCTGACGGCGAGAGGGTAATCGCATGCTCGTCCAAGTGCATGTAAGAATGGCTTGCGCGTACGAATTTAGGGGCAGTTTTCTAGACAAGTACAGCATGCCGTGCGCTCAGACTGGTTCAGTTCTCATGTTTGGGGTGCAAGCAATCTTCCATATCAAAATTTCGACATGTTCGGTTTTACCGGACCACTTCCTGAATATGAAGTGTACCACGTATCGCCGTAAAAAGTTAAAGTGTAACAAGTCTTATGTCACAACCTAATAATTCGCGAGAAGGTACTACAGTAATGCGCAAAATTCCCGAATTTTTCTCGAAATGCCGATCTTGAGTGAATGATAAGTGTCCTATCTTGTAGCAAGATCAGTAAATAGAATTCGGACAAAAAAGCTTGCGAGAAAGAAAAAATTTGAAATTTATCAGTTTTTTTCAACATTTTTTCAGTGTACCTCAAAGTCCCGAATATATTAGGTTGGCACGAAAGTTCTTGTGTAATTCAAACAAAATTCGATAACTTTTCAAAGACTAAACCTAAATTCACAATCTTGTTTGCCAAAAATATTAGAAGTCTCACGCTCTATGTTGGAAATTCAAGCACAATATTTCATGAGCTAGCCATCGAGAACGAAGCTTTCAAATGTGGGGCTTCAAATTTTGCGATTTTGAGTTCGGTGGCAGAAAATCGCAGAGGACCGGTAGCTAGCCGAAAAAAATCTGTAAAAATTATTTACACAGCAAAAGTCCATACGTTATTTTAGCAGGCTTTGATCTCGCATGGAAATGCGAAAACAAAAAATTTGTGAAATTTCCCATTTCACAGGACGGAAATCCCCTTATCGCTCTAATTTTTCCACAGAAACACAGTCTGCAACCAGAGATTAGACATGGTAGCTATTTAGAGCCTTGCGACGTTTTCTCGATTGTAAAAAAGTGTTTTCGCCGGAAAACTGCGGATATGAGGGGATTTTTTCCGCAAAATGACATATTTCACGAATTTTTTGTTTTTGCTTCACCGTGCTAGAGCAAAGCCCTTTAAAGTAACATATGAACTTTTGTTGTGTAAATAAATTCCAAAGATTTTTTTCAGCTAGCTAGCGGCATTCTGCGATTTTCTGGCACCAAACTCAAAATCGCAAAATTTGAAGCCCCATATTCGAGAGCTTTGTTCTTGATGTCCAGCTCACGGAATCTAACGCCTAAACATCCATCATGAAGCGTAAGGCATCTAATATTTTTAGCATACAAGGTTGTGAATTTAGGTTTAGTCTTTGAAAAGTTACTGAATTTTGTTTGAATTACGCAAGAACTTTCGTGCCAACCTAATATTAGGTTGGTCCGAAAGTTCTATCCCACCATTTTCAAAAAATCATAACTTCCTCCTAACATGATGTTTTTGCATGGCTAAAACCTTGTTGAAAAGAGCAATTCATACGCTTTCTAGAAACATCTTGGCTGCTATCTAATAAGCTCTGACTGCAGAGATAAAATTGGGGAAAAGAAATCACTTCAAGTTCGGAATTTTTAAGCGAACCCATAAAAAAATCTCAAACTGTGCCATTCCAAAACAGCCAGTAACCTAGGTTTTCTGACCGCTCTTTCTGTATAAACAAAACTCGCGCTTCCTAGAAAAGTTATGATTTTCAAAAAAAAAAATGCCAAAAAATCACTTCCACAAGAAAATTGATTTTTTGACATTTTCTTCAAAAATTATAACTTTCAATATAACAGCATGAACTGCTCTTGTCAACAAGGTTTTAGCCATGCAAAAACATCATGTCAGGAGGAAGTTAGGATTTTTTTTGAAAATGGTGGGACAGAGCTTTCGGACCAACCTAATAGAATTTTCTGATTTTCTACTTACTGAACAGCCGGGTGTTTTTGCAAAAGTGCCAATAGGATGTCCTAGCCCTACGCTTACAGAATTGAGCGCTGTTGACTTTTTCAGAATTAAATTACGGGTCATAAAATGGCCGCAACAGCTACCCATGTTTAGGCGCTGATATCTCAGTCTGGATAACTTCAAGAATACAATTAAGTATGCATAATTTAGACAATTTCTATTACGTACAAGAGCTAAATATTCGAAGAAATGCCGCTGATACGCGCTTGTGGCCAAAAGAGTGAATGCAAGAAATTCTGAATTTGGATGCGGTTATTTGAGGCTCAGTAACTTTATAATAGATGAGGATGAAAGCCCTTTTAAACACCATCAGATAGAATGAAAGAGCTTCTTGGTGGTACACTAAATGTATTGTAAAGAAGAAGTATTGATGGAAAAAGCACTTTCATGTTAGATTGGTCAGTTTGGGAATAAGAATCTTTCCTGAGCAGAAAGCTGTAATGGATTGAGTCGCTAGGGGAAAAGGATCATCGTGAGCTACCTCTCTAAACAATAGTCTTCCACATTTCTTCTGAAATCTTGACAAATTTACCGTCTACGCAGTAATGCTTTGGCGTTTACGCAAAGATAGACTTTCTGTTTACTATCTGGCCCAAAGTTTGGCTTGCAGATTCTTGGCAAGCAAACCCACGACTTCTGTAAAAAGTCTAACCAAAAGTCGCGTGGATCCGCTTCTAGCGCTATTTTTAGGGGTTGTGCATCGGATCGGTCTGTGTGCGTGATCGAGCTTATGCTGGCGGGATATATTATGCAAAAATTTGATTCGAGAGCTTAGCTTCGCGCTATGAATCTTGCGACAGACAAGGATACCCACAAAAAACCGACTTCAGCGCATAATCGTAGCAGGATAGCGCGAGACGGTATAGCGATTGAGCCTGACCGATTACCTAAAGTTGCTTGTTGATACATATCTTAGGAACATTGTTTGGAGATCGTCCATCTCTGTAGCTTCCTTCCTATCCTCCTAAGTGCAAAATAGTTGCGTCGCCAAAACTTTGGTCTGATTCTCTCTGCGCGTTTTGCTCTATTTGAGAACCCCGGTTACTTCAAAATTGTCGCGGATGGACTTGCCAACTTTCACCTGAACCAAAATTCTTACCTGCGCATAGTGCTGATCTCCTTGGCCTCCCAGATTGTTTGTATGGGGTTGGGTTCCTCTCATGGAGAGTACCACCTGCTGTTTGTGTCTTTCCACCATATCAAGCCTTGGAACAGAGCGCGCAGACTCACCTTAGCGCGTCTAAAAATTCTGACGGATGCTGCTTCTCGGGAGTCACCACAAACAAATATGAACATTACCAATGAGAATAGTGTTTGAGCCAGTTCACTCTGATTACACTGTTGACGTGCGCTTCCACGTTACGCTCATTCTTTTTCCACTCGAACGTGTACCTGCACGATGTATACAAACTTTATTTTTGTTTTACTTTGTTGCTTTTGTCTGTACCTGTTCCTGTCTTTGTCCTTCTTCGCGCTTATGATATCTCCAGTAGACGGTCGACTCCAGTTATTCCTTGAACGATCTGAAAGTCCTCTGAGTCGATCTTGAGGCTTACTGTCGTGCTGATACCGTATACGGATTTGCAGTGCTTAAAGCTGTAATCTCTTAGACTTTTACGTGGTGTGTCCAGGACTGTTTTTGAAATCCCTCAAAATTCAGAAGGTCGAGGAGAGATGGAAAGCTGACTACCGTGAATAAAGGCCCCTCATCATTTTCTCACACGAGCAACCTTCCAAGATCAGCCTGGACACTGCTTTTAGTGGCTGCCAGGCTAGTCGAAACGCTTACAAGGGAATGGTCAGAAATAGAGGCGGCCAATCCAAACAAGTTCCGTACCTTTAAATGCAGCATAACTCGCTGACTCCGAATCTATCTGTGACTTAATAATAACGGGCTGAGGGTTGTTTACGTCTGTTTGTCCGTGTGTCTGTATGTACGTCTGTCTGTCACGAAATTCCTAGAGCGAGATTTAGCAAAGGCCATGAGCTAGAATTTTGGTCATAGTATCCTATCAACAGTAGACAAACTGTGCAAAAGCCCAAACCGATATGATAAATGGAAACATTAAAAACTGTGCGTCAAACGGGTTCACTTGGCTTCTGGCCCGCAAAAATGGGTCCGTATTTCCACTATAGCGGAGTCACGAATGTGTTTGGCAAGTAAATGTGCAAGCCATGGACTTTAGGCCCAAAAAATTTTTTAAAATCTTTACTTACCTATTTTATCTTAATCTTTACTACTTTACAAAAACGGCGCCAAAAAGGATGGTTGCGTAAATGGTCAAGTTGCCGTGGTGGTAACTGAGCATTTGACAAGATTTTTGCACAAAGACGTAGCTCAATGTAATTATTGTTCTTACTGCGACTACCAAAAGAATGCAAAATTCAAAAACCCATTCAAATTTGAGTTTGTTCTTCTGCAAAAAGTTTCATCCATCAAAATCACCGATTTTACATGAAAAAGTTTTCAAAATGAGTAGTTGTTTACAGTTTATTCGCAATATTCGGCATTGCGCGGTGAGCTTCAATGGCATCATTGTGCGAGAATGAGTAGGGCATTCAGATGTTACTCAGACAATCGATCGGACCCCTCCGCCGGACCCTCGGAAACTGCCAGGGTCGCGCCGGACCCAGTTGACCAATGAGAGAAGGGCAAATGGGCGGTCCATCGCGGTGGCATCACTGGCAGGCAAATGGGAGGCTTCTCCGGCCCTGCTGCAAAGGTCCGCCATTTCTCCGGCGCGACTCTGCCAGATTTGACGGACTCCGCGCCGCAGAGGTCTGCGCGGCGCGTGTCCGCCAAATTTGGAAGACACGCGCCGGAGAAAATCGGAGGGGTCCGGAGCAGAAATGGGAGGTATCCGCCGGACAAATGGGAGACCCACCGCTGGGGATACGCCGCGACCCTGCCACTTCTCCGGCGGAGGGGTCCGATCCGCTGTCTGAGTAGAACCACTGTGAGCCTCTGCGAAGCAGAGGTGACGCACTGGTATTCCATATCTGCTTAGCGTTTATGTGAGCGAAGTTATGAGCCATCAAAGGTTGTTCTGCTAAGAAATATTATATTATATTATATTTAAATATAAATATATTAAATATTATCTATGACTTAATAATAACGGGCTAAGGGTGTTTACGTCTGTTTGTCTGTCTGTCTGTGTGTACGTCTGTCTGTCACGAAATTCGTAGAGCGACTTCCATCAAAGATCCTGAGCTAAAATTTTGGTCATAACACCCTATCAGCATGTAGGTAAACTGTGCAAAAGCACAAGCCGATCCGATTAGTGGAACCTGTGAAAACTGAGCGCCAAACGGGTCCGCGCGACTTTTGGTCCGCCAAAATCTGTCGGTAGTTGGGCTTTTTGCAAAGTCGTGGATTTGTTCAGCAAGTAAATCCGAAAAACATTGACTTCAGCTCAAAAAGTAAGCAGAAAGTCAATCTTTACACAAAATTGGCGCCAAAAAGATGTAAGTGAGCAAATTGTCGATTTGCCAAGAATTTTCTATAAAAATTGAGAGGATTTTTGAATAGATATGTAGCCCAAAGTGGTGTTTATCCTTATGGCGAATATAAAGCCAAAATAAATTCAGTAACCCATTCAGAATCGCATTTGTTTTTCTGCGGGAAAATTTTTTCTCCTGAAATTACCAATCTTACATGGAAAAGCACTAAAAATGAATGGTTGTTTACAATTCATTCGTGATGTTCAGCATAGCGCGGTGAGTTTCAAAGTCATTATTATGCGATCACGAAGAAGGCACGGATAGTAGAGCCAGTGCGAACCTCTGCGAAGCAGAGGTGACGCACTGGTACATTATAATATAAATATATTAAATATCGTGCATGCAGAGCACAAATTTGGCAGTGTAGAACCATGCTCGGCTAAATGCTAGGCCAAAACATGCAGCTAGGTTACTTCATATAGCCCATACCTGAAGGTGAGCTAGAAGGACAATAGTGTGCTGATATCGTACTTTTTATGTAAAATTTTTTCGCAATAAGACTGCTCATAACTTCGACCACAAAAGCGCTAAGCAGATATGGAATACATATTCGGAATTCGCGTTGAATGCTGCATCGAATGGTAAGCAGACCACTGCGACTTCTGACCATTCCCTTGTTAGTTACTTTATCTTCTATTTGGCCCCAGGATCTACCTTATCTACGCCTCCCCCCTCCGTCCCTCTGTAACCCGCCGCACCCATCAGCAGCTCGTGCACGATAGAATCTAGCTATGGAGAAACAGCAGGGAAAAGTTACGAAGCAAATCGTCTGCGATATATATGATCGACTCCAAGATTCGTGTGGTTGCGTCGGATTGCGGACTTTCCCTAATTATAAGGATGGACCCGTTAAACCTTCACGTTATAGCATTGTTTTTCGTACTCTCTCGCTATCAAAAACTGCCACGCTTTGAGTTGCGACGACTCCGCCTCTGCACGAATCGTGGAGTCGAACATCCCTGGTCTAAATGTGGAGTCTTAAATTGGGGACTGGGGACCACATTGAAAATGTGAGAGACTAGTAAACAGTAAACAGTAAGCTAGCAGATGGTGGGTTTTTATAGTGGAAAATCGCAAAAGCTACATTGAGTACATAGGTCGTAAAAATGTGCAAGTGACTTGTTTATTCTTGTAAAGAACTGAAATAATTTTCAAAATTTTTCATAGATTCAAACTTGCCCTGTAATTCATTTGGAAGTTTGCTCCCCCCCCCCCCTCCCGCTCCACCCGGACGGAACTTCCGGGACCGCCACTGGCGCATAGATATTAGGTAGCAACCCCTCTCCCTAGTATACTGTAGTTCACACTCCACCTTCCACTTCATGCGCTAAGTCCTGAAAAATGCGCTTTAAAATGCTTTCCCTCCTCTCCCTGCTTTCCATTAAGTGGGTGGAGCCGGTGGAGTTTTGAAGCGTGTTTTCAGAACTTAGCTAATGGATTGGCGGGGTGAGGTTTGGGCTACCGACGGCTACCGACAGGGTCAAGCAAGGGGTGTGGCACACGGTCGCTGGTTACGACCCCCCCCCCTGATTGCTGTCTTAATAAGACCCCCCCCCCCCCTGAACTATATACCTAAGATAGCACTACCAGAGTTGAGAAAGAGGTCAGGCACAAGTCTTTCGAAAACAACCCCACCCCCTCTCATGAAAACCCTCAAACGACCCCTTCTTCCTCCTCTTAACCTCTGGACCTCAAAGTGTGACATTCTGGAGGACACCAGCTTTTTCTAGAGAGTTTTCAGATTTTTGAGAGCTGTACGCCCATTTTCTGTGACTGCACTTTACAATCACACGTAATTTGACGGCTGATTTTGATCTGAATGGGCATATTGAAAGGGCCATAATTTTCTTATAGGTGGGGCGTTCGGCTCCAAATTTTCAGTGTAGCAAGAAGAAGCTATGTGCTCAATACTTATACCAGCAATGGAGCGCTTTGTGGATTTTGAAGGCAAGTTAGGGTGCGGCACACCCCCTTAAAAGCTGCGGCAGCCGCAGCTTTTAAGGGGGTGTGCCGCACTCCATTAACTATATCAAAAAAAACCTTTTTTAGCGGACAGTATTTATATGAATCGATAGCCTAAACCTTGGAGATTCCATAGGACTGTTTGGAGCCTGATTCGTCTTCTTGGCTCTTAGTAATATTTGGTGAAAGCACAACGATCAAAAGCGAAAAATGGGAAAAACGAGATTTTGGTTGGCTTCTAATTCCACAATTTGCAGGTCTTCTGAAGCGGGATTCCCGAGGTGGACAAAGAAGGAGTAGTGCTTTGTCTTGAGTGCAAAAACGGATAGTTAGTTCACCTTCGAAACAAAGTTAACCATGTTGGAATTTGACCATTTCATTTAGGTAGCCTAGTACCTTGAATCTTCAGAATTCGCTCACACTTTGTCTACAGGGGTTAATTGACATGCTAATTATGGATATGATACAAATATCATGTTATCACTGTTATCGGATTACCCAACTACGACCCCTCCCCTTTTGACTCCGCAATACGACCCCCCAGGTGTGGCGTGCCGCACCCTACGCTTGACCCTGGCTACAGTGTACTTGAGGGGGTCCACCACGTAACTCCACCAAAATCCCAGAGAGGTCCATTTTGCCGATACATTGCCTTTGAAGTCAATTATGGTAAGCGCTTAAAGGCAGTGGATCGGCAAAATGGACCCTCCTCGGATTTTGGTGGATTTAGGTAGTAGACTCCCAAGTACACTGTAGCCCACTACCCTCCAATTCAAGCGCTAGATCCTGAAAAGGCGCTCCAAAACTCCACTATCCCCGCCCATTCTACGGGAGTGGGCGGGGTTTGTGGAGTTTTGAAGCGCCTTTCGCAGGATTTAGGGCTTGAAATGGCAGATGAGGTTTGTGCTACAATTTACTTGGGAGGGGGGGGGGTCTGCTACTTAAATCTACCAAAATCCGAGGAGGGTCCATTCTGCCGACCGATCCACTGTCTTTAACGAACAGCGTCTCCAAGGCAGTGACGGGCGTCTTACAAGGGAAGGATACTTGATGACCGTAGCTATTCGTAGTGAGATTAATATCACTGGGTGCGTCTTGGAACGCTGATCAACTCTGCTTTTGTCTGCTAAGCGATTGTCTGAAATAACTTACGGCCTTTTTCGTAAAAAATTGCTCCAATTAAGCAAAACTAAATATGTACAGGGTGGTATGTACATATGAATTATGACCAATAAATGGTGCGTAACTTTGCAAGGACTGAAGAAAACAAAAACTTTTGGCTTCATCTGATAAGTCATAAAATTCTGTACGATCTTTTAGATTACTTTAGAGGTAGTAGCCTTTTTCCGTTAGAGCTTTTATCCCCTCTTAAACCTCTTCTTCCATTTGCGCGCAGTGTTTTTTTTTGTCTTAGGCTCTCACCAGATCTTTTTTACCAAATTAAGTGGCATGCCTTTGGAAGAGCAGACTGTATGCTCTCAGGTAGACCAGAAGGAGAGTTTGTGACATTGAGATTGTGCGAGTTGTAAGGTTAAACATTGTTTTCTTTTGACTATCCAAAAAATGAATTTCACGCCACAGTATTTTCTTTCGTGGTGGGCTGGGCATGGTCCTGCTAAAAAATCTGAACAAAGTCTATAATGTTTGCTTTAACCCAAGAAAGTACCACGACCCCTCGAAGTTTGCTTGCGATGCTTTTGTCGATGTCTTAAAAAACTGCGATTTTCGGATCATAGTGACTGAGGTTAATGAAACCTTGAGCCAAATTAACTAAAACTAGGAAACGACCGCAATGGGACAAGAAAATGTGTAGAAAGCGACTACCATTGAAACATCTCATGAAATAGGCTGAAAATGGTTTTTTTTGCCACCCGCTAAATTAAGGTGGACCACATTTGGACAAATAATGCGTCAGAAATCACCGTGCGCATCGTGAAATTTTTTTAAAGTGAAACGTTCATTTACCAAAAATGTTGGCATCCCGAAAGTAATCTATAAGATCCTAAAAAAATTTACTTGTCTTTCAGATGAAAACAAAAACTTGTGATTTCATGCAGTCATAGCAAAGTTATGAAAATTATTTTTTGCGTCACTCTTCATGTGGAGCACCCTGTATATCGCTCAAATTAATGTTGCGCTCCTCGGAAAAACATCTGAAGAAGAGCGGTTATTTCAAGCTTGGAAAATCTGTCTCAGTTGCGTTCACCTTCAAAAAACTCACGTTGGGAGGTCCGATTAGTCGAAGTGGCCTTTCCAAATGATTCTTATACCACTTTGAAGAGCATCAAACGTTGATTCCAAATCTAATCTAATTATCTGCCGAACGCTTCTGAATGCCGAGTTATGAACATTTTCTTGGTGCGAAAAATGAACGCATAATCTAGGTAAAATCAAATTTTACGGTCTTGTCAGCGCTCAAATAGAGCAGTGTCAAATAAGAGTGTTTTGGACAAAAGGTATCGTCCAAGTGGAGTGCTCTGAATCAACGTTGGAATATTTGAGCAATTCTGGCAAATTTTGTGCTAATTACGCATTCAATTTTTTGACTCGAAAACACTCGTAACTCGACGTTCAGAGGCGCTCGGCAGATAGCGAACACAGATTTGCAATCAGCGTTCGATGTTCTTCATAGATCAGTCTCATGTGAAAAGGGCACCTTTGACCAAACGGACTTCCCTTGTCAGAATGATTCTGAGTATAGTGTGCAAAAGTTCTGCGAAGAAGCTCATGACTTATGTCAGACAATCGTTTAGCAGATAGAGAAGGCACATTTGTTCAGCGTTTTCAGAGGCATCTGATGATAAGTGTCTCATCACGATTGACCGTTGTCAACATTATCCTTCCCTTGTTAGGCGCCGCGCTAAAACTGACGGGAGAATCGAGACAAACTACGAGTATACTGGATATGTGTCAATAGAAACGATTTGCGTATTATGTTGCCTGTATCTGCAAAAAATAACTACCGATGAAGAGGCTGTACTTGAGAAAAAACGTGAAGTTCGAGTGTGAAATTGTTGTGAAGCTATCTGTGAATACGATTCGCGGTTTATTTCTTCCCATCTAGATCTCAGACTCAGCTGCAGTGACTTTCCTTCTATCTAGTCAGCTGATCAATCTATGAATATTGTGCGCAATCTAAAAATGATGCGTATCTTCAAGTTTATGAAAACGTATCCATCGAACTTGCCACTTGAAAATGAAGGTTCGAAGAATAGGTCAACCCCCAGCTCGTTCATTGCGAAAAATCAAACGTTGCGTGTTTCTGCTTCCATGTTACCGCTGCCTTCACAGGCTTAAAGCCTTTCTGCCCTCCGTCTTGTATCATATGATTCCATACCTACGGAACCTGACCTCTCATAAGCGGTTTTTATGTGGGATCCCAAAAGTAAAGGCAGGACTTCATGTTGTATGAATCCAAGTATATATAGGTTGTTACATGACGAAATCGTAAAATCTTTGGGCGCGAACGCAGCTTTATTAGCCGCAGAGCGCATGAAGCGCAGGATTCACAACGGTGAGGATACGCGCGCGCCGCGCTCACGCCCGCTCAACTAATACCAGCTTCTGCGCCTTCGTCATGCAGTAGTAGTTTAGTTGAGTTATGTACCGAAATTCCACAAACATGAGTGAAAAATTAACAAAATAATTCTTAACACCAAAAAACGGATTTTAGCCTTGAAAAATTAAATACAACTTCCTCTTACGTGTAGGAGAAATCAAAATGTATGTGATTTAATTTTATTTTTCACTCATCCACTGTAGATTTGTCGTGTTGAAATCTTTATATATAAAGCAGAAAATCTGTGTGTTTGTATGTTTGTGCTCATTTCTTATAGTCATGAAGGATGAGCGGTGAAGCTCATTTTGATCTGTTGGTCATCAAGATATGGTAAGGGTAGAAAGCAAACCCAAGACGAGTCGGAATCAAAGGAAGGGTAAATTTCGTTACATGAGGGATCAAGCACAATGGACTTACTCCAGAAGGGGGTGGAATCCGGGATGCCAGCTCGTTGAAACTAAAATGGATGGCCAGTTCCCTGCTTGCAGCCTCAGGCTCCTCTTGCATATATGTAGTTATGTACTACAAGCCTGCGATTAACTATAATCTCGACCTTTTGTATTCGAGTAGAATTTTCTTTTATTAGTTTGCGTTGTCGATAAAATGCGGGAAAATCGCATGTGAACAAATAATCACGTCAATAATGCCGACATACTCTGAATTACAAGAAGATGGGCATGCAATGAACTTGTAACACTTGTCTTGCAGCGATGAATCGCGACGATGAAATCGCGTGAACTGTGACCGAGACCTGAGAAGTGTTTATGCAAAAATTATTCCCCTTTGAAGCAGCAATGTTTTCGTTCGATTCCTTTGATGTTCGCTTGAAAAATCGTCAATCTTCAACCCATATTTTTACCTGCCCTAACTTTTGCTATTTTTTTTAGTTTTCGTTCTGAACTTCTAGAAATGCTTTGAATCGAGTAAACAAAATGCAATGTAATACAATTTTTGGCGTGCTGGCTTTTCGAATTTTCTAAAGTAATCATTTCGATGCTACCAAATTCAATATTTGTATATCCTAAAGCTCGTAGAACACCAGACGGCAAACTAGGGTGTCAATGCAGCTTCTTCTCCTCTTTTTGGAAGGAGTTTTTTCTTTCTGATTCATAAAGGCCTCGAGGAAAAAAATTGCGTATAGATTTTGATGCGTCTTATTCTGCACCCGAAACATTTCAAGGCGGTAGAAACTCATTTGTATGTTATCGGTCTTTAATCATAATTGATTTTTGGAAGTTCCAATTTGCGAAAAATTCATAGTGTCTGTAGCATTTGCATATTTTACGACTTCACAAATGTTTGAAAATTCTAAAAAGCCAACTATCGATGCCAAAAGAATTCGTTTTTAGCATTTTGTTTACTCTATCCAGTTGCTATCAATTCTTTTTCTAAAGTCCAAGAAATAAATTTCAAAAATAGTTAAAATTAGGACACTTAAATGCATGGGTTGAAGATTCTGGCGACTCCAAAGAACATCGAAGGAATCCGAACAAAAGCATCACTGCTGGAGGGGAAGAAGATCTGCATAGAACACTTCTTAGAGTGTTTGTCTGGAAAGAAATTTTGCATAGAACACTTCTTAGAGTGTTTGTCTATCTTTATTCTAAATGATTTGAGGATGGGTAAAAAAAAGCGTACGAGCCCCACCTATCATCTGTGAGAGAGGTGATGTGTAAAGCTGATTGCGACATTGAGATAAGCATATCTCTTTCGGCAGCGGATCAATCAGTTCTCAAAAATATCTCCATTACTTGCCTCTAATGGCCTTATAATTCAATCTGTATGTTTTCAAATCATCGTAGTTTCAGGCTCTCGATTTGGGTGCTGTCCGATCAGTTGATTCGCTCACGTGCTGTGATGATCCTATCGTAGACAAATGCTGTGCTACATTCGCAACAATTCTCAGCGAGGTAGCGGAAATCCGAAAAGATGCATCTGAAAAGTTCTTCCCTTCTCTGTTGCTCTATGAAAACTGCGGTAAATTGTTTTTTGCTAATCTATCTTGTGAAAAAAATGAAAAAACCCGGTTCAGTTGCCGAGTCAGATCCACTCGATCAGTGTCGACCTATTCGATGCATGACTGAGTTCTTTCCGGTCCTGCTGGACTTTTCACAGTTTTTAGCCAGAGTAGCTCTCTTGTTTCGCAATCTGCTCTTCCAAATTCGCTGCTTTCATGGTCTAGAGTAAGTTGCTTATAGAATTCACAGAATCATTTCTATAATTTCCCAATTCAGGAAAAATGCGCTACCAGGTGCTTCTGAGCGCAAGCTTTTTCGAGCTTGGTCCGGTCTAGGAGAACTGCTTGCGATCCTTCTCCAGACCGACAAAATCATTGAAAGTCGACCATCCATACGAAATGACTGGAACAGCTATTGTCGGTATGATCTTCAATCCTGTATCAAAAGCTGTTCTTTTCTTATCGTGGATTTCCAGCGCTCTGGGCACCGCTCAGCACAATCCGGCTCAATTTGGTGTAGATACCGATGCCCTTCGCTCACTTATCACTGCCATTGCCACAGTTGAAGGACAAGTAATGGCAGGCAACGGACTTCGTGTAAGTTGCACTTAAGTTGTGGAACTTTTCAGATCACGTCCTCGGCTGCGTTTGATGTTGTCTGAGCCAAAACCATTCTAGCGCCGTGCCGACCGTCTCATGCATTTGACACGGTGCTGGAACGGCGATGACACACGACAACTCTGGACGCTGCCTCTTTTCGATTCTTGTGTTTGTTCTCCACTAGAGTTACCAAAATGTGAATAAGAAGACGTGAAATCATAACAACAAGGATTGTTAGGTGAAGGAAATTAGTATCCACATTCCAGGCGTTGGAAGTGATTTTACGGTAATTGCCCTGTATTAGGTATCTGAAAATGGTTTAGGCCTTTTCATAAGTCCCATGCCTTAAAAAATGTGTTCGGTTTGCTATTGCTCCATTGATATTCTCGTGATATTCACCAAAACTTGGTTTGGTGCTCAGTCAGAGCAGAGAGGATGAACAACCTTGAACAATTTCTTCGCAGGAAGATAGATGCTTGAACGCGCATGAAGTGCAGATAAGAACTCAAAACATGTGGATTCATAGAAATGTAAGCTCCATGACGATGAACTTGTCTTGATGGCTTCTCGGGAGTCACATAAAATTTTTCGGTCTGATACTGCTGGAAGTATTATCGCTAACTACGGCTCCGCCCGGGCCTGTCAATAATATATAATCAGCATGCTCGATTACCCCCCTGTGCCAACTCCCAGCCCTGTAGCTCAAATTTTGCAAAAAATCGATAAAATCGATATCGATCGAAAAGTAGCCTATGACACGCTCCCTGCCCCGAAGTAAATGTGTGCCAAGTTTGGTCCAAATCGGTTCAGAAATAAAAATTTCTATTCCGCACATATGTACAGACAGACAGACAGACAGACAGACAGACAGACAGACATTCAGCTTTATATATAAGACTAGTAGTCCAAATTAGGTGTCGTACGATTGTCCTTGCGTTGTAAACAAGCAATTTGTCTATGTTGGCCTGCACTGGGCCATCTATTTTGGCTTGTCCGTACCTCCCCCACCTTCAACACACCCGCCCTCCTCCCCCCTCCCTCCCCCCCCCCCCCCCAAAAAAAAATTGCATCTTACGGCGTGCGTGACTAACGTACCTTTATTCAAAAAACATTTTTTTCGCCCCTCCCCCTCCTCCTCCCCCCTCCCCCATCTCCGACGGAGATCCTGGGGCCCCACTGTCTTATCTATAATGAGACTGACTGCACCTCAAGGTGTTATGATGAATACGAGTCCCATTCGGAGGATTATCTCCCTTCCGTAGGGGTTAGGCCTGCCTCGGCATATCCATCGTTAGGCTATCAACATAACTTGAGGCCTAAATTTTTCTTGGTCAGTACCATCTTCAATTACCACATTGTAGCTCTACTCTGATCTATTTTAATAACTACAATATCTCAGGCGCTCATTACAGAACTGCTACGAACAAAGTTATGGTGAAGTCGACGACGATAAGCAGTTCGCATCACGAATGCGCTCTGTCATTATAGAAATGTACAATCAGTGGGAGAAAGCTGCTGGTTAGTCCAGCTCAGCATTATGCTCATATGATTTTGACTTTTAGATGGGGACATGCCTGACAAACATCGACTTATGGTGATTATATCACTATTTGTCTTCTTTTATCTGCATTTCCCCACAAAGGATACTAAGCTGCCGAAGTTGATGTGGAAAAGTCACAGAAAGGTCCAGCTCTATCTTCTTCAACATTGCTTACCATGATGATATTTTGTTGCAGATAGTGGCATTCCACCTTGTCGGAGACATCCTCTGGATTCCTTGCGAGTTTCTTATGCGAGAAATTCCTTCCATAGTAAATGCTGTAGATAAGAAGAGCGTCAAGTTCATTCAGCATTTGCGAGAAACGTTTTATGTTGAACATTGTGATGGTATGCTCGAAGAAGCTGTCTCACACATAGCTGCAGCCGAAGATTGGCAATTCAAGGTCCATTTTCTATATCCAAGAAGAAATTCTGCAATGAAAATTCTTGGTCAGAAAAATTAGATAGATTTTATGTGAGGTTTTTTTATCACTGGTACTGTGATCATAACTTGTCACTCACCAGCTTCCGTGGTTTACCTAATTTGTCAGTGGGGGGTTATAGACAAACCTTTGTAAATTCTATTGTCTTCAGATGGAGGGTGAAGTTCGACGTACTGAGACGCGTGATGCAGCAACAAGTCTTTATGTGGCCGAAATGATGCTCAAAGTGAGAAACTAGAGTCTTCTTCTAGTTACATTTCCAGAATTTCGAACAAACTCTAAAATTTGGAAATAGTAGTTTCTCTAAATTCCTCAGTACTTCTAGGGTGCACGGACAGCTGGAGTTATGGGAGATTTGCTGAGAAATGTACTTAACTCGCACTCAGGACCCATACGAATGTCCAAAGCCAAAGCCTACAAAATCTTTAGCGTTCTTGAGACCATGAAGGCATGTTTAAACCTTGTCTAGTGTAGCACTGATTACTGCTTTACTTGTAGGCAATCTCCAAAACATTCGACGACTGCCGTCGGGTTCTGATCGAATGCCGTCAAATGGCTTGCCAACAATGGCGTTGTCATTCGCTCGATCTCATAGACCGTGCAAGGCTCAGTGCAAGGGAGTCCAATGATTCTCATCGAGCTGCAGCATTTCACATAGCCATTCAGTGCTTGCTGGGCTCTGGTAAGTGTCTTCACTCAAAATCAGTGCGCAGCAAATAACGAAGGTTTACACTCGAATAGCTGCTGTTTTTCAATGCGAAGCCGGTCAAATTGAAGTTAAAATTGGAAACACTGCCGGGTTTCCGGTTTAGGCTACTCATAACGAAACTGTTTCAAGCTGATAGACAAATCACTTGGAATATGCTAAATGCATATCACATTACGCACCAACAATAAGCAGGAGGGCATGGGGCACGTCTTCCTCATGAGGAAGAAAAAATTTTCTAAATGTGATTTGTACATAAGCATCCATGTTTGACTATCCATAAATCTTGGCATAGCTGTAATCTTCTCGTTAGTTGCTTGAGCATAGTCCAAGGAGGCTGGTACAAAACAGAAGAAGGCGAGTTCGTCGAAACGTTAGTCAGTATTCTGTGATTGCTAGCAATGAAGTATTTTGTACAATTTTATGAATCACACAATCAGCTTGTTACAAGTGAGTATCCAAAATGATTTTTCAAATTTTTTACAATATGAAGTGAAAGTTCTGCTTTCAGCTCAAAATTGTAGAATCTTAGGCCGGGGAAAGTTTTGTCAAGCTTTTAAAATATCAGCCCGCCACCCTCCGCAAAAAAATTTGTACGCACTGGGATTGCTCTCAAATGACTGGCTTTTATCCCTTCGCAAACCTATAGCTAGTTAAGATTATTCTATGCGCTAACTATCCCTGCAGACCGAGCAATAAATTTTGAAGAGAAATAGGAGAGGTTTTGTCGGCTTCGCTTTTCTGTTGTCATCATTGTGAGGCATAGCTATTTTTGCGGTGTCTAACAATTCTTTGTAACGTAAACTCGCCAATAGACACAAGAATTGGACCTGAAAAGAAAAGCAATCAACCAATAAACTTCATCATGAAGCACAGTATGTATCAAGCTTTTAAGAATCACGGCTACGACTACTTGTTTGCGGTGTCGCACTGGAACTTGCGCAGTACAAGGTGAACAATACTCCGTACTAAATAAATCTCACAGTCTAACTTTATATGTAGGATGCTATGCGTCGCATCGACTCTTCTCAGCTCGATGCGTTATTGTCCAGGCTTCATACTTTCTGCAGAATGGATTCCATCATTAACAGGTAAGCCCGTGAGCTCTATTTTTCCGCATGTCAGAGGTATACGCTCTGCTATCAGAGAACATAATTCCAAAGAAATGGTAATCTGCTTGGCAGTCGTATTCATTGAAGCTGAAAATTGAAGCTGTCTTTACAGATGGCGTTCAACATTTCTTGGTTTTTCTGAGCCGTAAGCTCTCAATCTCTTTCTCAGTAGAACACCTTTATCTATCACTTATACGCCATCTTGCTAAACTAAGAGTATCTCCGCCTTCCCATTAAAACTGAATCGTATTTGCTGCTATCGCACTCTAAGTTCAATTCCCTCTAATATCATTGTTGCTATGAAAGTCTTCCAGTCTTTGCTAACCTCATATAGCGAAACAGCGACCCACATTTTTATGAGATTGGCAAAGAAAAGTGGTTGAGTTTGTACGAGTGTTTTGTTATCTTGAATCAGTGTGGAGAAGAACGATCATAAAGTTTATGAATGAGTTCAGAAGTTCAAACAGTGCTAACTTGATTTTCAAGTCACTGTAGTTTGCGTGAAAATTGTGAACTTGCGCATATCACCCTAATATAATCAGTCCATACTGTCTGATAATATCAAAACTTTTTTAGCCAGAACAAGGTTAGCCTGGTAGTAAAAAAAAACTCTTTCCCACTTTTTAGTTAAGCTCATACTACGTTCCCAAGCATTTCTATTCAGTAAGCTTTGTCTCTGAATGGTCCCAAACTTTAATAGATCACTTTTCTCTTGTGCTAATTGCTTGTGAACTCCCTTTTCAGAGTGGCTGACTGCTCCTTCCTGATCTTCCATCAAGATTTGATAGACATCTACTGGGACACATTGCTAGAGCGGATACCATCAAGGCAAAGCATAGAAGTATTATTACTACTTGAACATCGCTGAAGGAAGAGCTGTTATGAGACGCTTTCAGTTCTTCACCATGGCTGTTTCGGATTGCATTCGCTATGCCGAAAAATCTAGACGGGCCAATCAGATGGAACGTTTCCGAGATGTTATGGTGGACACGATCAAAAAAGTGGGTGCTCGGAGACATTTGAGCTCAACAGTAAGAAAGCGTTTAGGGATTTCTCGTTCCCTTATGTGCTGCGATCGAAAACGACGTGCGTGTTCTATCACATCAGCATCTGGTGGTGGATGAAAGGTGCATCCTATCGCGTTCTTTTTTTTTTAAGTTCAAAGAAACAGTTGTTCTTTGCTTGTCAATTTTTCCCAAAATCAACCTGAGCAAAAACAAGCCCCTAGTAATTCACATTCATAATAAGATTTCTCCGTTCAGACCTACAGGCGTGCATGTGGTTTGATTAAGAAGCTTGATTCTTTTAGAGACAAATCTCCTCAAGAAAAGTTAGATTTCTACAAAAAGATAATGTCCGAGCCAGAGTTCCGACTACACGGCTACGTTTTGAATGCAGCGGGTAAGTAAGAGCTTTTCAGTTATCGTTTCGATTCTGCTTTGTTATTTCCTACTTCCATTTCCAGATTTTGTCACTTGCAGTCTCCAAAAATTATTTTACGACCTGACCGCGGTGGCTCTACACGATCGTCATGCATACAACAAAATGGCAATGCTTGCTAAGCAGCGGTATGCGCTTTTTACTCTAAGATCACTCGCCAGAAGCGTCAACTTGTCCGTGCAGCTCTGTGCGAGAACCTCATGGCCGTTTTGTGTTGATCGACCGACGTTCTGGCATGGCGCTGGCACGAACAACTATAAACGCAGTCTTAAAATTAGGTTTTCAGTTACGGATTGGAATTGATCGATGGCGCATTGCCAAACTGCTCAGTTGGCCAAAGCCTAGACGTGGTGAAAGTAATCTGTTCACTTGGTGATTTTGTTGTCAACTACAATTATTGTCTTAATCAGCAGGTGTGTGAGTTTGCTCTATGTACTTTTTTCTCTCTTGCATTGCCTTCCATACTTCTCTGTTTCAGTTGTTCATCGAGAAACTGTCACCGAATCGTTCGCTGCGCGTGCTCACATCTGAGCACATGGCTGATTCGATGCGCACTCACGGATTAGGTGTTCTGAACACCAGCGTGAATAGAACATATCAGGTAATTTATGATGTGAGGCATATGCGAGTCATTTTCCGAAGAAGACCGTCCTGGTATACCATTTTCGTTGCTGTAAACGTATTCTCCTACATCATCTCTCGATAAGTAAAGTTATTGTAAGTGGAAGAAAGGGTTGAGGCAGAGGTGCAAGCTTCTCAATGTCAGAGTCATCGTAATTGACAGTGAACGGCACCTACTCAAAGATATGGTCTCGGAGAAGTTGGAGTCATGTTATTTCTTTGGAAAATTTTCCTGATTCCAGACTGTCAAGTATCTTCCTCAGTTTTGCCATCACACCTCGAAAATGTTTAGTTTCTCAGAGTCAGCGTTAAATTAGTGCTTCATATTCAGCTTCTCCGCAGCAAATTTGCTGTTTTCAACCAGTTGTTGAAGGATGAGCACATTCATGCACAGCTCCAAAAAGACATCCGACATTTTCACGAAAATTTGGAAACTCTAAAGAAACTGGTTGGTCTCTATAGCAAGTGGCTTATAAGAGAGTTAAGTTTGAGAAATGTTTACAGTATCCTCCAAAACGAGCTGAACAGTTCAACAGAGCTTTCTCGCAGCTGAATGCCCAAGAGGGAGAGCCTACTTACATGGATCGCTTCAGGATGCTAGTCACGCAGGTGGAAAAATTATTGCTTTGATTAAAGGCAGTGGACAGGCAAAATGGACCCCTGTCAGATTTTGGTGGTTTCGGGTAGTGGACCCCCCAAGTACACCGTAGCCCCAACCCCAACTTCCAGTTGATGCGCTAAGTCCTGAAAAAAGCGCTTCAAACTTCCACCAATAACGCCCACTCAATGGAAGTGGGCGGGGCTGGTGGAGTTTTGAAGCGCTTTTTTCAGGACTTAGCGCATGGTCGGAATGTGGGGTTGGGGCTACGATGTACTTGGGGGGTCCACTACCCGAAACTACCAAAATCTGACAGGGGTCCAATTTGCCTGTCCGCTGCCTTTAAGACATATGCACATTGCTGCAGTCGGTGGTCTGTAATATTGGCCACGGTACTACCCTAAAATCCCATAGATAAGAGCGGTTTAATTTACCGGTGAAAAATGAATTGGAATGAAATGAAATTGAATGCAGTCACCCCTCTAACTTGATGGATGGATAAGTAAGAATCGGAGAAGAAGTTTAGAAGAAGCTGCTCCCCTCAACTCTAAACCCCGCCCACTTAATAAACAATTTATACAAAAAATAGCGATTTTAACGGAATTTCTGCCGGAATCTCTCTAGAAATGCCGGAATTTGATCTCTGGATAGTTGAGGGGCGGAGCTTCTTCTAAACTTCTTCTCCGATTCTTATTTATCTATTTATCTTTATTATTTATCTTATTTATTTATTCATCCATCAAGTTAGAGGGGTGACTGCATTCAATTTCATTTCATTCCAATTCATTTTTCACCGGTAAATTAAACCGCTCTATCTATGGGATTTTAGGGTACACTAATACCGTACCCGCGCGTCCACGTGCAATTTTATAGAGCGTTAGGCGCGAGGCGATTAACTCTATAAGTGCCTCTTCTCTGGAGTTCGCTTGACCTACGGTATAGTTACGGTATGCGCCGTGCTGTCTCTCACAGTTATCAAGAAAGTATTTGTCAGTCATAGTAGGGTCTCGGTGTCAAGAACACATGAATCTGCCGTAGAGCTTACCTGAAAGCTCGTCTCAGCACATGCTCCTTTGGCAGAAGTAAACTGTTAGACTCTGAAGAATCGCACAGAAAGTAAACGAAAACAGCAGTGAAAATCTTACCGTCCCATTTTTGTCTTTAGTAAAGAAATCAAAACTCTCTTAGATGGGTAATGCTATCGGATTTGTTCGCTCAATGTCATCCGGAGCCTCTGCTGTTGCCAGCCAGATGAAAGCCTATGACACTTTTGAGGCGGAGATCGTGGTTCCAGAAGACGAAGGTAACGTTTGCTAGTTTGCAACCCTTTCCTCAAAATCTTTGGTTGTTTATCTAGAAGACAGCCCTCTGAAGACTCTCAAGGAGTTACTCACCGACCTGCGCGATCAAGCCAACAAGAATCGCGATTTTACAAAGGTGCGACTTTTTATTATCAGAAGATGTGGTTTCCGTGGTCGATTCGCTCAATAAGGCGGCGTCAAAAGTGGGCGCCGGTGGCATGCCAGCGTCGCGCCGGAAATCGTGTGGAAGCACCGCATATTGATCAGTCGACTTCCACCGGCATTGTTCCGGCACGGTACTAGCACGGCGCGGGAACGGCACTGACACGGGAAATTCCGAACGTACCTAAGCGCAATAAGTGAAAAAAATCATTTTTTACTTAAAATTTTTATTATCAGATGCTGGTCGAGGTATTCCGGCATGCTTTCTTGGACGACTCAAAGTTTGCTCATCTGCTCAATTTCTACGTAGCGGTGCCTGCGCTCACTGTGAATTATGTAGATCATATGCTAGTATGCAGAGATCGTTTGAAAAAACGAGCACAACATAACAAGGAAACTACATTCACGGATGACGGTTTTATCATGGGTTTGTGCCGCAGAGGAAGTTCTTTTCCAGTGTTGAAGCAAAAGGTTATGTGATTAAGGTCTTGCCTACATACTCACAGTGCTGAATCTCTGGCCTCAGTTCAGCTCTTTGAATTGGTTCCGCTCCGTTTCTAAGTAAGTCTTGGCACTTGCTAAAAAGTGCTAAAATCGAATCTAGGAAATGTGCCGCTGACTACGAAGCTCTAACCGAAGAGATGAAGTCCAGCAAAGATCCACGCAATGTACACCTCAAAGCAGCTCGGTTACAAGCGTTTGAAAGAGTATGTAGTCTCGTTTTTTTCTTCTATATTATTACTTTTGTGTAGTATGTTTGCAGGAATTCAAGCTACTATCGTACACATTCCAATCTGCTCGGGTGTTTTTCTCAATTGATGAGGACACTGAATAATTTGATACTTAATCAACAGTTGTACAGACATTTTTAATAAACTATCTATAACCAACACAAAAGTATTTTCCTCTATGCTTTTGCTCAGCCTAAAGCTATAAGTTGAAAGATGGGTTGTACAGGAGAAGTCCCTTGTGAACTTTCTCGCATTAGTCTGACTTTCCCAATAACAAAACACTCTTACACAGTTGCAGATTCCATGTATCGCTGGCTGCTACACGTTTATTAGGGTTACTCTCAATTTCAGCCTTGTTCAAAGCAGGGCTTATAAGAGTACAAAATTATAACAAGATCACGAAGCCGATCTAAGAAAGTCAGATACTAATATTTATTCCCGTCGTGCTTGTTTGGGAGCTGCCTGATAGAAGGAAATCTCAAATTGTCAAATATAAAAAAAGCTAAAGCAAAGCCAAAATCATACTTGATACGTGATGATTAGAAGATGAAAGTATTCATCAAAAATGATCACATCCTCCTTACATCCAAAAGACATTCAATTTTCCATAATTTTTTGCGCCACTCCCAGAATGCTGCTAAGCGATCCTGAGCTATCGTGACGTTTCCTCAGTTTATTTTACCTGTTTCTTTACACTACGGATCATGGAATATGCCAAAAATAGCCAGATTAGCCAGATATGTAGAAAAAATGGACACATTGTAGGTTATATCTTCAAATCTTTGAAAAGGTGAATATCCGCAATGTTTTCGCTCGCTAACAAAGACTCCAAATGCGATAGTAGTACCCAGATAGTTACTGTCGGTCCCATTTGTTTTTCTCAAAGAAGGAAAGACTACGGTGGCTTAGAAATATTTGGCAAAGTTTATTGCTGCTCGAAAACAAATACGACATTGTTTTCATCAGTCCTGTGGGAAGGTGTCCAATCTGTATGCCATATTGCCTAAGAGAATCAGCTTCCTCTATAGCATGCTTTTGGTGGGTTGTCACTGGCGCTCTAGTGTAAGCACTCAGACAATTGCATCGGGAAGTTCGCGGGTGCTTGCTCGGCCACCAATCATCCATGCCGCGAGCTGCCCGGTAAACCTTATATTAGATCCGATAAGTGACCGCGGCGCATCCCGTAAGTGCCCGTTAAGCGCCTATAGTTGATCCGACTACCATGCTTGTAAGGCCTAGGAAAAGTGAGGAACTATTCTAGTCTGTCTTTCACGGAGGTGGTGCAGGAGGAACCAAAGGGCTGCCGCCTGTATCCGCAGGAGATAATTAAGAGCGCAAGCGTTGTGGAGAATATTTTGGCAGGGATCCAAGGAAACTCGGCAGGGACATTCTTTAGGACGAAATCTTCATAACTTCGCCTGGAGATGACTTTGAAAAATTTAAAAAACAGATTTGTAATGCAAATTGGAAGGCGCATTCACTGGGCCTAAAAGTAAGTGAAAATTTGAAATTGTAGTGGTAACAAAGTCAACTACCAGATAAAAATTTTTTGTTTTGAATCTTGAAGTTTCAAGTTGTTGAAGTTCGGGGTTTTCATTCAAAATTCATTCTTTTTTCTTTGAGATAAGGGAATAGTTTGCCTTTTGAATTAATGAACCAAAGCAATCAAAATGTCATAAAAACACATCTGGAGGTTTGTGTCAAGAAGTTCACATACAACTGTTAACATTCAAGAAAAATCGATAGTGGTCAGTTGATTCGTGGATGTGACATTGATTAGTGCATTTGCATGATTAGTTAACATTATTTCCTTATTACCAATTTCAACTTCAAATCCAGAATCATTAAAAATTCACTCAAATTCTTTCGCACAACAACCAACTTGAAATTCCTCAACTTAAAATGGTGAATTTTGAAGGCACAATTTTTGCTAAAAATACCGAGTAGCGAAGCAGAGTTGTTTCTCTATCCGGTAGGCGTATTGCTGAAAAATGCGCCTTTCAATACTGATTCCAAATCTGTTCTCCCTATCCTTCAAACTTAATTCCACGGAGAGTTATAAGGATTTGTTTCTAATGGATGTCCTCGCCAAGTTTTCCTGGATCCTTGCCAAAATCTTTTCCACAGCGCTCACGCTCTTAATTACCTCCTACGGCTACAGGCGGCAGGCCTTTGGTTCCTCCTGCACCGCATCCGTCTTTCACGATGACGACTAGGGTAAATTGAGCAATTTGTTAGCTTATCTGTCGACACCATCTAGTGTTCGACAACACTCATCCGACTGCTGAAGTTCGTTTCTCAAGCTCAACTCTGTCAGATAAGGCCAGATCCAACAGTAGCCATCCTCATGAACGCTTAGGGTAGCCCCATCGCTGCGGCGTACCTCATGCGGGTTGCGCCTTAACCTACAGCGTGTAAGAAGTGCGGCCTTTGATAAGGCCCGTGGCCCTACGAGTGAGGTGGTTAGGCCGCGACCCTCCCGGTAGTCTCTTCCCAATTTCAACTTTGGCCGCAGCGTTCCCGGTAAAATAGACATGGGCCGCGGCGTGCGGGCTGAAATTTCAAGGGCCGCGGCGCGCTAGGTAACACGCTTTGAGGCCGCGAGCTTTCCGATGCAATTGTCTGAGTACTTGAATTGAATTCTAGACTAGTTCCATCGGCAAGTAACATAGGTAGGAGTTCTTCTGCAGTCAAACCTGTTCGCAGTGTAGTTCACTTCTTTGCAAAGGGAGACTACGACTGGTGTCCTTTTTGCAAAGAATGTACTTTACACAATGGTTCTTTTGGATTTCGCAGTTAATCTCGTTATTCCCGGTTCCAGCGATGGAAAGGTCGAACGATGATTTTATAGCAAGCGATTGCTCAAATCTTCCATATTAATGAACGTGTCCGCTTAAACTGATGCTATCCCTCACTGCGATTTCTGGTCATGAACTAAATGCAATGCAACTACAGTTGTCTTCATCCAGCAAATAAATTTTCTTATCTGCAGTCTTTTCTTCTTGACAACTTCTACAAAAAATATGAAAAGAAGTTAAAGTTTGTATTTTTAATTGAAAAGCTCAACACAGCTTACCTCTTCTTGTGAGTATCACCACTTATTTATCGTCTTTGCTTGTTTAGAGTGCTGATAAGGGATTGGAGCTTTTTATGGCATTGTAAAAAGAAGATGTCGTTTTTCCGTTCTATTTGATTGATATTTCTCGCATATACAAGGCCAAAATTTCATGGCTGATGTTCCGAAGGTTTGTAGTAAAGAACTGCATGTATGGGAAGATCTTAGGACTGCTAAGAACGCACTTGCACCTGTCGTTTCTCTTTTTTTTCTTGATATTCTAACCAAGAAACTATAGCAAGCATATGGATGAGTGTGGGTGTTTACTACATGCAGGAACAAGTGAGAAACTTTTGAGTTTCTTTGGGGCAAAAACCGATTTTTGGCTTCACGATTTGCTTACGATTTTGGCTTTAGATTTTGTGTTAACCATGACACTTACGGTAATATATAGAAATCATCTTGTACTTTGCTTTGTTCTATCGCTTGGTGCCCTCATATATTTATTTCGACTTTGTATTGTTGCTTTGCCATAGGAAACGACATTGTTTTTTTTACCAATCTGAAGTTTTGGCTCTTTCCCATAATTTTTGAAGTTTTTTCATGACAAGTCCATTGTAGAAAGCTCTTTGGTTTCAACTACGAGAAAATGCAGTAAATCTCTCTAAAAAACGATTAAAATCAACAAATAAAGGTGTATTTATTCTGCAAGGGAAGAGAGCCATTTTTCCATGATAGCAAAATGAACTCGACTTCTGTTGGGTATGAAGACCTTAGATGGTTGATTTATAGATAGCAAATTGGATGTCGTTCTTGAATTTGAGAAAGAGTGCTAATCAAACTTTGAAGCTTTGGCATAATATAAGATAATTCTTGTTGATATTGAACTAAGATGTCCATAATTTGATAACGAAGATACTGTCTAGTCATAAAAGCTTCTATGTGCAGCTTCTACGCCCCAAACATCGAGTCTCTTGCATTGTTGCACTTTAATTTTTAGTGCGGATACGGTGTGAAAAGCCAGCAACCAGTTCCTTCACAACTACGGCGCAAAGGCGCAAATATTATCTCTTTGCACTTTTCGCTCGTTTCCTGTCATCAATAGGCTCTCAATTTTTGAGTGGAAATAGTTCTATTGCGCAAACATATGCGCCACCACAAGCTCACATTTAAAATTGTATACAAAAATTAAATCTGACAAAAAGGAGTGTCGTTGCCATGATATCTCGGGTAGGGGACCATATGTATGTTGCCGATAGGCTCCACCCCGGATAGGTGTTACCGATTTGTAAAGTCTGTAATGTATGAGCCGCTTGGTCTGTCGCAGATGTCCACATGAACCCACCTCTTTCGGTGACAAAAGTCCCCTACCCTAATGTCTCAGGTAATGCTACAATGCTACATGTACACGCAATTGCACTTAACGTTTTGCACTGGTTACCCAAAACCCTCCCTCATTTTGCACTGAATGGAAGCATTCTGTTTTGTTTTCTATACCAAAGAGGCTTTTTGCAGACTGAGTTCTTGGAAATTTCGTCACCTGCTCTTATACCGAAGATCTCCTAAAAGAATAGTTCGCAAAATGCGAGAGTGGTGACTACTCATGGTGTAGGTCTGTATCAATTAGAGATTTTGTTAGTCTTTTTTGTAATTGAGCAGGCAAAACAAATGAACTTTTGATAATCTTCTAATACTTATCCAGATAACTGTGTGGTTAGCGCACTTTTTCGCAGAAATTTAGGTATGCTGAATTTGAAGCCTTGTTGCCCATCATTTCTCTCAAAAACAAGGTGAAGCACCTCAGAAGTTTGAGAAGAAGACAGATCATGGATTGTTGTGATTTTCGAATCCCCGATGTTTTTCGTGTGTGAAATACTGAAACAGCGAAGTATTTAGCAAAGAAGAACTCATGCTTCGTATAAATATGATGCGTGCATCGGCTCGCTATTGTCTGTTATGAAATGGTCACAGCCATTTTCCGAACACTGTAGAAGATTGCATTACAAGGTAAAACAAACTGCCTGTACGAACAGAAATTTGGTTCACATAGAGCTTATTACATCTTATGGTCATTACTTTTGACATAGCTAAAAATTGCGGTGA